AGCTCCCGGAAGAATAAAATCACCATTTTTTACAAGTAAAACAGTCTTTTTTATAGCAAGTTTTTGCACTGAACTTGGATGCATTTTGGAAAAAAATTATAAAAAATTGGAGGTCGGGGACTTTTATCTGGCGGGGACGCTAAACAAGTAATTTTTTATGTGGCCTTAACCCACCCTTCTTTATTAGTCAGTTAGTTATTTCACGTTAGTTATTTCACTTATTTTTTAATTGTGGGTTAATTGAAATACTTTTTCTATCATGTACTAAGTTTATATATATAAAATTGGGTAAATTTAGAGGAAAAAAGTCGGGAAAGATGAACGAAAACTGCCATGTGGTCCGGAAAATTTCTTATATACTGTAAACATGTCATTCAAACGACAATGAAAGTCCTGCACTAAACAGGCTGAAGAGCTAGCGAGAAGTGCTAGAACATGTATGGGACATTCTGAAGAAAGCTTCAAACATGTTTTCTTTGCTTCTGGATAAAGTAAACAAGAATGCTATGAGCGCAAAAGATCGATCACATCAAAGCACATGCATTTTACTGAGTTTTGTTACTTCCCTTTACAGTGAAGGAAAGAAAAGACATTTGACACTGATTCACATTACCATTGCAGGGCTGCAAATTATACTGTCGGACATTGGACAATGTCCGACTAAATTTGGCAAATGTCCTAGCAAAAGTAATTTTGATCGGACATTGGTCCGATCACAAAAAAAATTGTCACGTTATACATTTTTTTTGCTGTGACAAAATCCGATTGCAAATTCACCCAATTTGCATTTTGCAATAACATTTACGAGGCATTCTAGCATTTTACTTAACGTCGCGCCAGAATGACTATACAAACTCGTGACTTATATTATATCTTGTGACGTATATACGTCCGATCAAATGTAGCAATGTTGGAATTGTCCGACCAAATTCAAGTTATGTCCGACCAAAATTAAAAGTGATGGGACAAATGTCCTGTCAAATGTCCTGTCAAGTCAAATATTTATTTACAGCCCTGCATTGTATTTTTGGTTTTGGATTAAAATATTTTTTGAATACAAATTTTTTATGTGTATTTGGACTTGTATTGTGTACTTATGTGTAACAGTAAACGTAAACTAAAAATTGAAAGACTAGAAATTTTGAAAGAACAAAGCAGTAATGCATTGTATAGTGACATTTTACAACCTGAAATCAGGTTATTTTCATCGCACCAGTACCCAGGGTGTCTGCTATAACAAGAGTTGACTGTATTTTAAACTTCTTGAAATATATTAGGTTGGAGCATATATTATATACACAGTTTGTGTCATTGAACTGCTAAGCTAACCTGTATTTAGGTAAGTCATAGATTTGTGTCCGGAAAACCACGAAAAAGCATGATCGCTGAAGATCTGTGCCATTTTGGTAAATATAAATCAGAATTTCATAGAAATGTGGAAGCTGAGGATGAACATATGTCAATACCTCTATTTCATATATACATCATTTTGTTGCTATTTAATGCTTGGAATTTGAGTTTGTGTTGCAAAGTGCTTTATTTGTGAAAATATTGAATTTTTTTGTAAATAATGAAAATTTTAGGCAGTAGCTTTCGAGGCATGTGGGCGGTGGATGCAAATCTGTAACTTTTATTCCCTAGCCAGTACTATTATAAAATCATACACTTTGTATTGTTAGAAAGTATTATACTGTCAACTGTGTACACCATTGGATTTCCTCAAAACCGTTTTTATTTTATAAACCATTTGTAACAGAACAGAAACAGCAAAAATATCAATTCGACAAAAGAAAATCTGGTGATAAAATATACATGCAAATGAATTTAATACATTGAATGACAATCTGTTATAAATAGAAACGAAAATGAAGCAATGAAATATTTACCTTTTTCGGGAGAATAATTCCTCAGTTGAATCCCTTCGGTCATTTTTTAAAACAAATTCTCATGTAGTTCGAGTGTTGAGCATTGATAAAACTTGACGATAAGTTCGCATTATGCTCTGTCAAATGAATAATCATTCATCCAAATAATATTGCAGTCTCCATAATTTCATTTTCAATTTCATGTATTGTTTTGAAAAGTCAACACCTCTTCGACGGCGCAAGTGCGCATGACCTTGGCATCGACCAGACCATCTGTCAACCGGTGAAGGCTATTTCAGATACGGTAGAGCACCTAGTCCCCAGGCCTTTACCAGCGCGACCGCGAAATTGAATATGGCGCCAAGCTAAGGAGTGGAGTTTAAATGGAGTTTATATTCTATAATTTCTATTGTTGTTTTTTGATCTTTTTATTCTTTTTGGTTGGTAGAACTTATATTCTGATATGCCAGGTATCTTACTCTTTACCTGATTAATCTGAAAAAAGATTTTATAACAGAATTTTTCTCAAACATAGTTTAAATTAATATCTATATGTTTCAGTGAATTATGCTTTAAAAGTAAAAAATAGATTGGCCAAGATAAGAAATTTTTGACACTTTCAACTTCAATTTTGAAAATTGTAATAACAGCCTAGTTTATATTCCATAATCCACAGAGCTTGAAAATCCATGCGGAATGTAGTAATGTACAAATTATTGACTTTTCGAGTGAAGTTCTGTTTGAATTTTTCAGGTACTAAGTTATATATAGTTATCTTGCTATTGTCTCTATCTAGCCTGGCACAGACCGTTCAAGATTGCACTGTTTAATTAGCACCAACACTAACAGTCATGGTGGCAGGGATGGATCCAGCATGATCTGGTAGGAGGGGGGGGGGGGTTGATCTGCCAGCTCTAATGCCGAGTTATGTTGGTCATGCATGCCACCCGCCCATCAACTTACAGGTCAAGTCTTGCTTGACTACTGTATTTGAATTGTAATTGTTGTTCACAGTTTGCTTCTTATCATGTTATCGATATCACTCAAATTACTGTATCTCATTTTGTCTCTATAATATTTTTTTGTTTTATCATGAAAAATAGCACTCCCCCCCCTGGCCAGGGCTAGGGAGGTGCACCCCCCCCCAGTAAATCCATCCCAACATACAGTTGGGTTTATAGGGGGAGGGGAGGGGGGTTGACAGAGGTACACACCCTTGGCCAACAGGGGAGTGTAAAAATCTAAAGGGGGGGGTGCACTTCAAATTTAATTTACCATACATCTGAGCATTTGAGATATTGTATATAATTAGTATTACAAATATATTGCCACCTTGTAACCTTAGATATTTCATGTGGTATGTGTAATTGGGAAGTATCTTACTTGTCAAGCAATGCCGGGTTCAGAGTCCTCACCTGTTCTCCTAGCAATCAACAATATACAATTTTAATGCCAAATTGTGTGCCAACATGCAAAATGGACTCTGCACAGGTTGTGCACTACCTTTTCATTTCATGCTGGGTGAACATTATAGTGAGGATAGCAAAAAAAAAACATATTCACAACTAATGTGTCCTCTTTTACTACTTTTGTAATTGTCTTGTTCCATGACCTAAATAAGCTAACACACTTAGTAGCTCATGCTTACCTTTCAACCGGCACATTAGCAATGGCCGGCCCATTTTTCTTTATAGTGGTGTCAGGTGTGCAAGTTATTCAATAGGGTACTAACCTTGTATACAGGGCATTATAGAATTAAAAAAATCTGGGCAGGATGTTACAAGGCCATCGGAAGTAAATCAATATTGGGGGACTCAAGAATATATCTGAATAAATTTTAATTGCTTTTGCACTTTTCTAGTTATTTTGTGTGTTTTGCTTATACAAATGGAAATTTTAGGGGGGGGGGGCTCAAGCCCCCCACTTCTGACGGCCTTGTGTTACATGTGACATTGCCAGCTGCCATTAATAGTTTGCAGAATTGTGAAAAATAAATCAATGCTGTAGATTGCAAGTGGTAATGCACTTTCTCCATTGGTATTATAGACATAATACACATAAAATTCCACAAGACCAATTAACTTGGTAATCCTGAGTATTCCATACTCATTGGGAAATCAGTCAGATGCAATTGTACCCACCCTCTGGTCAACCCTTGCCACTAGACGTTTCAGTACCTTTGCCCTGCATACCATGGTTTATGAACTCAACATTTTATGATTGAATTAGCTTCTACTATGATATTTTATCTAGCTCAAGTAAGCTGAATGAATTAGCTCTTCTACTATGATATTTTATCTACTATGATATTTTATCTAGCTCAAGTAAATAGAAAGTAGTACAGCAAGCCGGCTGGAATAATGGTCAGATGTTCACTCCTCAGTGGCATAACTCCTAAGGGCTGTGCCTAGCAAGAGCCAGGGGCCCAGGGGGTGTGCCTTGTCAAGGAAGGTCCCTGGGCTAACCTTTATGCAGTGTTTGGAAATTTTAATTTAAATAATTAATTTAATTTAATTAATAAATTAAATTAATAATTAATTAATTAATTAAATTAATAATAATTATTGTAAATAAATTAATAATAAATAATAATTAATTAATATTATTTCGTCTGAGCTCCCGTCAACCTCTCGGCGGCCCTATTCTTCAATCGTTTGAAATGACCTTACACCCCCCTGAAGAATCCCTAAGGATGGCCCTGGGTCAAGGGGGCCCTTCACGGGGAACACTGAGATTTCATCCTACCCATAATTAAGATTCTGGAAAATGAGTACCCCATATGCCCCTAGTGTCTAATAGAATGTGAATTTCAAGTTGTAAAATAAAAGGAAAGTGCTATTTTTGCAGGGTATATCCTTAAGTGACCCAAAAAATAGATTGATTATGTGATCAGCTTTAACTTATTAAAAACAACTTAAAATCTAACTTTACCCCGAAATAGTTAAATACTTTGTATTCTACGGAATACAAAGCTCATTTGTAACTTACTGTTTGCAATGAGTAAAATTAATATTGTATTATGTAATGTAATCTTCAAAAAATATGAAGGGCCTTAGTGTTGGAAACGGGTCTTCACAACACAATCACAAAATTAATAAAATATATAATAAAACAAAATAAATTTACAAGTATAATCTGATATGTAGTTCACGCTTCGCTAAGGTTTTTCGATCAACAACGTGTTCGTTACATTCGTCCCCGGAATTACATCACCCCGGGCAAAGTTCCCAGAGGACTAATTTCCGACATTGCGCAATTTACTTCACTCTCCCCCTATTTGACTTGCTACAAGACAAATATATAACCTAGTAAATCACGTGCTAAACAACTAACTTTAATGTAAATGTATCTTTAGTTCCTGCTAAGTGTTCTCTCTAGTCCAATTCGTCTAGTTCATTTCTAGCAATGTTCGCTATACGTTCACGAGCTTCGACTGCTGCGGCTCTCGTAGTTCTTTCAGATGACTTTTCTTGTTTTTCGTTTGTTCCAATATCTTCAGTTGGGTAGATATCACACGATAATTCCATCGGGAATAGATGTTGCATCGCACGTTCGATATGGGACTTCCCTGCTCTCAAACGCGCTCCTCTTATTACACCGTCTCTGCCGACAATGAACGATTCGATTATCCCAATTTTCCACTTCCCTCGGTTGCGTTCGTCTCCTTTAATTAGAACTACGTCACCTCGTTTCGCTGTCATTTGCTTCGTGTTGTGCTTTAGCTTGTGTCTTTCTCGTAATGATTTGAGGTATTCGTTCGTCCATCTGGACCAAACGACATCTTTACATCTTCTCAAGTATCTTGCACGTTTACGAAGGTCGATATTTTCAACTCCGGCAGTTTCTTCTTCTGGGATTTGAGTCGGCTGTACAAACTGCATCGAATTTGGAGTCAATATTGGCATCTGGACATCGTCCTCGATATATGACAATGGTCGATTGTTGACAGTGGTTTCGACGTCCAACAGAACTTCTTCTAACTCTTTCCAACGTAGGTTTCCATGCCCGATCGATTTATACAGCGCTTGTTTCATCACACCGACTAACCGTTCAAACTGCCCGCCCCACCATGGGGCGCGGCTTAAGTTAAACTTCCACTTGATATCTTGCTTTGCCAACCAATTGTTGAATTTCTCATCGTTTCGAACTCTTTTCAGCCATTTTGCCGTCGCTACGAATGTTTTACCGTTGTCGGAGAATATTTTTTCTGGACGTCCTTTCCTTGCTATAAATCGTTTCAAGCTGAGCAAGAACTCTTCGGTACTTTGATCTGGTAATAGGTCGAGATAGAGAGCTCTCGTTAGACTGCACGCATATAACGCCACGTAAGCTTTCTTTTCCTTCTTCGTTTTGCTTAGATATCTGATCGGACCTGCGTAATCAACTCCGATGACTTTAAAGGGTGTTGAACCGGTCGTCCTCTCGAGGGGTAGATTAGCTGTCGGAGGATCTGCGTATGCTTTGACTTGGAATCTTTTACATCCATGGCACTTTCGTATCACACGTTTCGTCAATCGTCTTAATCTTGGGATCCAATATTTCTCTCTGATCTTAGTCATTGTTAGTAAAGCTCCCCCATGTAAGGTCTGCGAATGTGCATGTGTAACTAATTTCTCGGCAAGTACGTCTTCGTCTGGAACATAAATAGGATAGTCTCCTTGCAATCTTCCTCTACATTCATAGATATCTCGATCGTTTAGTTGAAGATTAAGTTGGAGCCTGTCCTCTTCGAATTTTTCTTTCCCTTCGCATCGGGATTGTGCTCTTTTAATCCAGAACTCAAGCTGTTCGTTTATTTCTTCAGTTGTCAGAGGACCGGTTATTTTCTCTTTCGTTCGGCAATTCTTGGTAAATCTCGCTATCCATGCTGTAATTCGGACGGCTTTCCAAAGATCCCATTTCTCGATAAGGTTATCTAGTTCATCTTGCTCTGGTTCAACAGCTACGGCTAGGATTTCCTTGATAACTTTAGCTTCGGCTAGCGATTCTTTACTTGGACTGGTCACGATATCTTCAGGCCACTCGCTCTTTTTGGTTAGCCACGGTGGTCCCTTGAACCATAGCTCAGATGACTCGTCCACTTTGCCGCCGCGTCTTCCGAGATCCGTTGGGTTTTCTTTTGAACTAACATACCTCCATTGTATATAGTCCTTTTCTTGAATCTTCTGGACGCGATGGTTAACAAATTGTTTATACTCGCCATTTCCCTTTATCCAGTATTGTGCTACGGTACTATCGATCCAACTGAACGTGTTTCGAACCGGAAATCCCATCAAGGATTCTTTCACATTATGAAGCAAGTTCGTGGACATATGACCGGCGACAAGTTCAAGTCTGGGAATAGTTAAACTTTTCTTGGCGAGTCTGGACTTCGACGCTACGATACCTTGGTTGATACCGAACTGTTGCTCGGTAACGGCATATACGACCGATGACACTCCCTTGCCACTAGCATCACTGAAGGCGTATAGATCAATTGCTTCAATTTCTTCTTCATAACCAACAAGACTCCTCGTTGTCTTCACTTCCTTTGGTAGATTTTGTTCCCACGAAATCCATTTGGCAAGCAATTCTGGTGTTAGTTCCTTGTCCCAAGGCATTCGCGCATCACAAACTTCTCTATAGATTAGTTTTCCTTGTAATGTTGTGAGTGATACAATCCCCAGAGGATCGTATATTTTGGCGATGTTTCCCAAAACATTTCGTTTCGTAATTTCTTTCAACGAATCCGGAAAGTTCACTTTGATAATATCCTTTTCCTTGTCCCAAGGCACACCAAGTAAACTTGTTTCTCCAGGTTTCACTCCCAATTGCTCATTCGCATAACTTGTCTCGACTGTTTGGAGGGATTTTGTTTCCGCTTCGAGGGGTTTTATTTCCGGTTCGAGGGCTGGATTATTCGAATGCAACTTGTGCAGATCAAATTTCGCCTCACGAAAGATGGTCACGCACGATTTCTTAAGATGCTCGGTTTTTTCAACTGTTGTCCCTGCGGATATGAGATCATCCACATACAGGCTTCGTTGTATCTCGTCAACTTCACGTGGATTAATCGATTGCATGTTCTGCAGGTGCTGCTCAATGACACCGCCAAACAGGAACGGCGACGTAGAAAGGCCAAATAATGCTCGTGTAAATCTCAGTGTTTCCACTTTCCTTGTTGCAAGATCTTTGAGCCAATGAAAACGAAGGGCGTCACGATCATCTTCCCTATAACGAACTTGCAGAAATGCTTGTTTAAGGTCGCCGGATAGAGCTACAGGCAACCTCGTTCCCAGGGTCTCTCCGTCTGTCATCTGGGAGAGACCCTGGCTGCGGCTGGTCACGTGCCTCCCAGATTCTGGGAGGTAAATTTAATTGTAACTGTGAGAGGGGTGGGAAAGGAGAGTGTTTGTAGCGTTTTAAAATTGCAACTTTGGGTGATGAAATTTACTGTAAATTTGCAACAAGAAATCGTAATTATAATTATAAAGAGAACTCTTGAATTAATATTTATGTCGTGACGTTCTACTCTATAATCTGGTGTCGAGCTACAATTCAAGCAAGTTGGATCAGATTTCATTATAGACTTGCCAAAGAAAGCACGCTTGCCGCTTGTGCAGCGTGGCAATATTAAACTGTGATTAAACCTGCAAGAAAATATATATCTCTAGACCAAACAGTGTGGTTGTTATTTATTTAGTATTAAAGTTTATCCTGATACTCGGACCAAAAGAATTTATTTATTGATGAGATGTGGAATTGCAACGAAATAGCGAGATCTTTTGATTTCCGAAATATCGCCAACTGTATCCAGATTGTTGATCTATATAAAGGCCTCATCAAAAAACTTAAAGCCCGTCAAAAGACTATAAAATTGGCCCTTGGCATTGCTGAATCCAACGATCATGGTATATGTCAAAGTATAGCTGTCTGTTGAAAATCTACGGTATTAAAATCATACACCAAAGATAAGTCAAACGGCAAATTATATGTCACTATATTATACATGTCTTTCAATGAGCACTGTTTAGTAGTGTTCACCACCTTTATAAATTTTGTAAACAGCTTTCGTTTTGACATGAATAAGCTTTTATTTTTTGCTTTATATGCATTCTTAATATATACAAGTGAGATTTAAATTTTTGCTTTGTGAAATAGAATACCGTTATTTTTTAATGGACAGCTTGCATCGTCTATATCATATTCAGGATTGCTTGTGTGTAAACGCATTATTCACTATATGACATTGACACTATCAAATAAATATAAGTAGCAAATGATTAATGAATTAGAGATAAACAGGTGATTCACAATGAATACTTTAAAAATGTTAGTAGAAGTAGAAAACTCGAAAATTTATGTCTATTCGTATGACGCCAAATGACGGTCTGTGCGCATCTGACACTGTAAATTTGTGATATAGATTATAGTATATTAGCACAATATAATGATTAATAGAGACCAAGAAAAAGGCTAAAGTCTTACTATAATTACCGAATACGAATTTATGTAGTAAATCCAGATAAATCAATGACTGAAATTTCCTCTATGCTTATGGACATTTCTCTGTTCGGCTATTATCAAATGTTTACATTTGCTAATATTTGGGCCAGTCCTAGACAATACTGTTTCTTTTAAAAATCTTATAAACAAGACGCGTAATAACAAGTGAATCGGTGCAAAGCGTATCAACGTTTACAAGAAAGGACAAATGTAATGCCTATTTTAAAAACATTACAACAAACGTTTGTTATAACCGCGCTCGAGTGTGAAGAGAGCATGCATTGAATAACAACACGAGAGAGCACTGCGAGTAACGATTTGCTTGGTTTCTTGACTTGACTGTAAGTAAGGATGTAACAATGTTCTTGTAAATTCAAAGCAAAGAAAATAAACAAAAATTAGCAAATATTTTGAACGTAATAATTCGCAAAATCTATGTTTTTAACGAATATCCCACTGGAAGCATGTTGATGTAATTTGATACTTTCCCCACACCCCCTCAGGCGCTACATTTTTGATGAAGCACGTGACCAGCCGCAGCCAGGGTCTTTCCCAAAGAAAGATCCTGGGTACGAGGTTGACGGAGTGCAAGCCGTTCAGCGACTACTGGGTTTTGTCAATTATTTGGCAAAATTTTTACCGCACTTATCAGAAGTAAGCGAGCCTTTACGACGCCTTACAGATAAAGGTGCTATTTGGTTGTGGCAAACACAGCATGAAAGAGCTGTCGAGATGATCAAGCAATTAGTAACCAACCATCCAGTCCTGAGGTACTACAAAGTAAACGAGCCTGTAAAGATACAGTGTGATGCGAGTGAAGTCGGTTTGGGAGCAACGCTTCTGCAGAAAGGGCAACCTGTGGCCTATGCCTCGAGGTCGCTGACAACAACGGAACGCAGATATGCACAGATCGAAAAAGAATGTCTTGCCATTCTTTTTGCCTGTGAACGTTTCGATTTGTATATCTGTAGAAGAGAAAGAGTAGTTGTCGAATCAGATCATAAGCCACTCGAGGTAATTTTCAAGAAGTCCTTACTAACCGCCCCTCGACGTCTTCAGAGAATGTTGCTGAAGCTGCAGAAATACAGCTTAGATGTAAGTTACAAGAGAGGAAAGGAAATGTATCTGGCCGATACACTCTCACGAGCCTCATTACCCGAAACTGGTAGCGGCAGCAGCAAGATGAAAACAGTGCAGATTTTCCACATCAGCCAACAGACCAAAGTGGAGAAAGAAGTGGAAAGTGTGAATCATACGTCATTCCTGAACGTAACAGCAGATAGACTTAAACAAATACAGCAGCATACAGCGCAAGATATGGTCCTACAAGTATTAAAGACCACTATTCTCTCTGGCTGGCCTGAGACACGACAAGAAGTGCCCATAGTGATCAGAGATTACTGGACTTTCCGAGAGGAAATGACGGTTCAGAATGGTGTTATCTTTAAGAGAAAGAGAATCGTCATTCCTAAATCAATGCGACCCGAGATGTTACAGCGGATACACTCAAGTCACCTTGGAGGAGAATCCTGTTTGCGAAAGGCGCGAGATGTGCTGTACTGGCCTAATATGAGCGCAGAAATCAAGGATATGGTCGAAAAGTGTACTACGTGCAATGAATATCAGCAGGCGCAGAAGAAAGAACCGTTGATGACACACCCTATTCCTGAATGCCCATGGAGCCGTATTGCCATGGATATCTTCACACTACATGGAGAAGATTACCTTATCACTGTGGATTTTTATTCAGATTTTTGGGAAGTTTTGGATCGTTTGGTTGACATGACAGCAGCTACAGTAATTGAACACTGCAAGGTGCACTTCAGTAGACATGGAGTGCCCGATGTTGTCATGACGGACAATGGTGGACAGTTCGATAGTAGAGATTTCACTAGTTTTGCTAAAGATTGGGAATTTGAACATACAACGTCATCACCATATCATAGTCAATCTCATAGAAAGGTTGAGGCCGCAGTAAAGATTGCGAAGAGGCTAATGAAAAAAGCCAAGCGAAGTGGTCAAGATGTGTGGAAAGCTATTCTTGACTGGAGGAATACTCCAACTGAGAGCATGAGCAGCTGTCCTGTTCAGCGTCTCATGTCTCGCCGGACACGTACGCTATTACCGACAGCAAGTCAGTTACTTAAGCCTAAAGTTGAGGAGGGAGTTCAAGAAAAGATTAAACTGAAGAGACAAAAGGCTAAACGGTATTATGATAGAGGTTCAACAAGCTTTCCGGAGTTGGAGAAAAAGTTAGAGTAAAGCCATCTGTGGTTAAGAAAGATGGAAGATGGGAACTTGGTGCGTGTGTGCAGAAGTCCGAGCCTCGTTCATATATTGTGAATGTTGGTGGAAAATTGTATAGAAGAAATAGAAAGTTCCTGAGAACTTCGAAAGAGAAAGATGTTGAGCAGAGTATCCCTGAAGAAGTACCGGAACCCCAACCAGTTTCAAATGGTCCAGTAGAGACCAATTCCGAGAGTACAACCCACTCAAGAATGTTGCAGAAAACTCCAGATAAGTCAATTACGTCACCAAGGAACAGTTTGGTAAGTGAACCGACTGAAACAATGACTGACAATCAATCTTGTGAAGGAACACAATCAACACCTAATGTTGAACGACACACAAGAACTCGAAAGATTAGACAACCTAAACGTTATACTGATTTTGTCATGAAGTAGATAGTTCTATTCTTATCTTATACTTTATATATTTAGTTTTTTAAAGAAACTGAAAAAAACCCCAGAAATATATAGTATAGTAATTGAACAATTAGAAACATTTGAATAGTCGATGTGACGGAGAACTTTAGCATGCAGAACTTTAATAATTATCTTAGAAACTTAGCTTCCTTTCAAAAACAAGGGAGATGTTACTGGGTTGGTTTCCAGACTCCTACTCAGTCTTCTATGTATATATAATTAGGTAGAATATTTAATAAAGTGTTGTTATTGTATGTGTACAAAATGGCGTCGTAACAGTATTAAAATACCTGAAAAGAGTCTCAATTCTAATATTAAGTCGGTTATAAACCTTGATAATATTAAAGTTCTCAGAAGATTTGTATATCAGAGGAATATTAAAAGGAATTTAGACTTATAAAACATATCATTAAAAATATGAATATAGTGAATTCCATGTTTATATTGTGTTATCATCTCTGGAAATAACAGTTTATAAACCAAATCCTTGTTATATTTTTTAACTGCCCTTATAGCTTTCCTTATATGTTTTGATATTTGCCAGCAGTTAAAGGTTCAATTGCTCTGTTATATGAGACAAGAAAAACGCGAACACGATTTAATATGTGGGAGAATGGGTTTTGGGGGTAAAGTACTCCGGTTACACTTAAACTATGGTCTGATTCCAACGACTCATTATAGCTTATGATCATCCCGCGGGGGTGTATATAAGACCCGCTAGGAGAGACTGAATGCTCCATAGGAGCTCTGCCCGAAGGGTAGCGACCCCCTCTGACATAGACCTGAACCAAGGGGTGGTAATCCCCTTGGACAGTACCTACGATTCGACTGATTACATTCAATACATCTGAGTCTATGGGCCTGAAGTTGACCATTGGGAGCACTTTAACCCCACAAATACACAGCGTGTATTCCCCATAGACGAGGACCCACATATAAGCGGAAAACATGCATGTTTTGAGTTAAACGAACTAACTTAGTATTTTTGTCGGCGCATTCATTATCAGTTCAACAGACATTAATGGTTCGCAGTATTGACCAACATGGCTGATACCCCCGATAAAGTCGATGGAGGCGTCTTTATATAACGTTCGTAACAATCTGACGACCACCGTCCTAACGTTTTAATGAGCCATGACGGCAGTTTAGCTTCAGCAGCAGTTGTTGCTGCCCCTATCCTGTAGCTATGGCCCGCATAGTCTACGGCATTGAAACCCGCTTGAGTCAACAGTTGCCGGGTTTTGATGGTTAAAGTTTGTTTTGTGAGAGGTTTTCCTGATGCATGAATAAACAGAGGCCCAGATGTTATGGGCCGACGCAAAAAATATGTTTTCAAGGCTTGCACAGGGCAAACCTCAGAATCAGTGGGCCCCGACTGTGATAGTATGGCCCAGCCCAGAGGAGGGTGGAAGCTCTTCCCAGCATGCATTGCAATCATTAATATTCACAATCATGATTTTTCACAATGTTAGTTGGAAAAGTTGTGGATATTTATTTCGATATTTCGCCACGAAAAGTTCGTATTTTTGAAGGTAAGTTTTTATAATTGTTTTAAATATGAGTCAAATTAACGATTTTTGCTTTATTTGGTGTTTTAACAACGTTTAGTTATATGTTAATCGCAATTTGTATTGACCTGTTTTCCGGGTCAATGCACAAGTGTCAAAAGTGGCTTTCAAAACCGCTGGGGACAATTGGGTTTATAAATGAGTAAATTAAATAAAAGACACGCCATCGTATTCAGGAAGAGTTGTTCTTTCTATGAGAAGTTTAAAAAATGAATTGTCCCCATCAAACTGACGAGTAATCGCGGTTTGAAAATGGGGCATTTTCGGTATACTATGTCGCCCATCGCGGGAATAGTCGACCGCATGGGAATTATGGCGCGAGGAAAATTACTGTACGAGTCGTTATTATTTTTGTTTTATTTCGAAGCATGGGCATATATGTCGATCGTTCTTGAGTTTAACTGCTGCATTTAAGTTAAATACACTGTATTTTACCATTATTTTTATAGAATTCGAATATATTTTGTGAAAATGGAATCTGACAATGATGGCAATGTTGTTTATATTGTTGATCCTAAGTATGGGAAAAGTTGAACTTATGAATTTAATGCTGATTTAGAACTGTTATTGAACAAACTGTTCCTACATCTTGCTTTGGCAAATGGTATAACATCTAATCCAGCCAAGTTGTGCTCATGATCCATTCAACTGATTCAAGCAATGAAACTATTGAACCAGAATAATAAGAGCAACCTGTTATATAAATTTGCCCATACCAGCCTTTTAATAGATACATATTTTAGTAGACATTTTACATGTAAATATTGGTGTATTGGTGACATGAAAATGTTGCGACGAATCTTAAGTATTTACTTTATATATTGTAACTTTGAATAAAGCATTTTATTAACATCAATTGTGTATGACCACTGCATTTATATGACCACCAAATATCAGGGATGGATTTACTGGGGGGTGTGCACCCCCACCTAGCCCTGGCCAGAGGGTACACAGGGGGGGGGGGTATTTTCATGATAAAGCAAAAAATATTAGGGACAAAATGAGTAATTTGAGTAATAACAAGATAAGTAAACTGTTTGTTAACAATTACAATACAGTAGTCAAGCAAGATTTTGCTGTAGTCAAGTAAGTTGATGGGTGTGCGGCGCACATGACTGACACAACTCGGCACCAGAGCTGGCAGAGCACCCTCCCTACCACATACTGGATCCATCTTTAGATCAGTGATCCATCTGTGCTAAATATACAACAGTTAAAACAGTGTTAAGAACACATGCACAAGGTGGACTATAAGAAAAAGTAGGGATTTGATGACTGCAGTAAACAAACACAGCAAATTGAGTTTGAAAACATTTATTTATTTGAAAAAGGAATGGTAAAATTAAGGACATTGGCAACGAAAATTTTTATTGGCTATTTCAATCCTACTTGACAACCGAACTATGAAAATATTATCATTTCCTTCTTGAACATTTTAGTCTATGAGTAAAATGCATGCAAACTTTGTGTTTCGGCCAGTTTCGCCGCCATCTTGGAAAATATTTTTGAAAAATTATCTCGAAGGTCAATGAACTTTGTGACGTCATTGGCTGGGTAGCACCAAAACTACAAGAGAGAATTATATTGCGTGCGTGTTATGTTAGCTAAGAATATGTCGTTTTGAGCGTTATACTGGCCAACACTCTTCGCAATCAAACAAGAGAAGTCTACACTATCAGATAAAAACATATCGAGCGACTGGGAAAGCAAGAAATGGCGCAATTTACAATGCAGGTAATTGACCATAAAATATTGCATTAGTATTTGCCTTGTTACACTCGAATTTCTGCGCTTATTTAACACGGAGTAGGATATATACTATGAGAAATAGTGTTACAAACAAGTTACATACTTGGTAAAACTTCTCTGCCTTTTGTTTTGGCTCAAAATGCACTACGCGTGGTAATACACGGTATTGTTTATAGTCATGAGATTGTGTTTACCCAGCCAATGACGTCAGATAATGTATTTTGTGGCATAAATTAGCATACGCGCTTATTTTCAAAATGGCGGACAACTGTTCAAATTTTCTCAAATTCAATCAAATTTTCTCCGCAACTAAACGCGACAAACCGGCCAAAGTATGAAATTAAATATTCCGTAAGTATACCTAATAGATATAAGTAATAAAAATTTTGGTTGCCAATGTCCTTTAACAATTATTCGCCAAAGGCGAGGTGATTATCGGGGAATATTTGCAGAGGTGAATATTCCCAGATAATCACAGAGCCTGAGGCGAATAATTGTTTTAGTATTTTTGCACAAGTTTTTTTGTATTTTTCTGGTCTGAATTCATTTTAATTTTGCTTATTTCTTTATTACTAACTTCAACAAAACAGCTAGCCGCCATTTTAAAATTTCGATTTTGTTATAATATAACATAATATAATAGATTAATACGTCAAATTTGACCAATCGCCTTGTAGCATTTGTTATGTTCACTTGTGCAAAAATACTAATATCAAATATTTACCTGAAATAATAACAGTGTTTTAATAGGAAGAAATTTATATGAAAATCTCAACTAAACATGTCTTGCTCATGTTCTACTTTAAATTTCAACTTGAGATTTTTTGATCATCTATACATGATTACCACAAGTTGCATGGTATCTTTGTTCTCGCCAGGAACCAGCTACAACAAACTTCTCAGGATACAAAGTGTCCTCCACAATCCTTGTCTTAATTCTCAGGATACAATGTCTCTCCTCCACAATCCTTGTCCTTCAGAATCCTTGTCTCCATCATTCTCCTAATCAGAGCTTGAATCATTATGTATTTAGCATCACCAGTAGCCTGTTCCACACCCAACAATTGGGTCAACTGCTGAATTTCATCTCACCAGGATCACCAGGCATCTCTTCACCATGAATTTTAACTAAACACATAGGATTTAATGGCTGCTTAATGCAATTGCATAACAATGACTCATCTAAATTCACCAGTGGTAGGTCATTCAGTATATCCTCTAAAATATCCAGCTTGGGTGGTCAGATTGTTACAGAAGTTGGTGATGGAATAATGTTAAACTCCCACAACAGAACACAATGTAAGTACTACAGGTAAAAAAAGATTTGATGCATTTATACAGGGACGTTGGAACAATAAAAAGGCAAGGGCACCTTTATAGACCTACAATTATGTGTTGACTTGCCAATGAAAGCCTGATTGTGCATGTTCCATTGACGATAGCTGTTCTGTGTTCTGGAAATAAAGTCTACTCAACGAACTATAACTGCACAAACACACTTAATCAGGTCACATTCAAGTTCACACCTCATGGTAAGATTTAGCAGGCAGAATTTGTATAACACAAAGTGCATTTCTGCCCCCCTTGCCCCTCCTCCCTGCTTTTATATTAAAATAGATTTCGCTCATTTGACATAAACTCATAAAGTCAAATACTTGTAGTCTTGTATGATTTCCGAGTATAAATGGCCCATTTTCCCACCAATTAAATCATAAAATAATCGTACCTTAAGGTGACAACTAGAATAGATTTCTATCAATGAAGGACTATCGCATTCGGCGAACATATAATAAGTCAACTTTTACGCCAAATGTTGTCGTTATCCGTAAAACTAGAAGTTCGACATCCCTTCACGAAGCAGCTCCAGTCGCTCTTTCGACACACAATGTACATAAAGATTGTCACGTCCATCCAAATCAGTAGCTTTGTTGCCACGAACAGTACGAAAATTCGCCATGATTTACAATTTTCAATTTGTACTTTTGAATACCGCTCCTTGTAAATTGAGTAGTGAACACAACGAGAGCCAGTCGAACAATGACGGCGCGTCCCGGGAAATCGATAATATGAATGAGTTACAATGCATGCCGGGAAGGGCTTCCAACCTCCTCTGGGCCCAGCCGGAATGGGTCCGTCTTTGATTCTTTAATGTGAACAGTCATAAATTGAGGGCTTTTTATGCCAAGATTTGGTGAAAAAACGATGCTATCTCGGGAAAGGTGAATATTTGGATTATATTTAGAGTTGCATGTTAGCTCACCAAGACGGAGAAAGCCAAAGAAGGCTAGTGTCATTGCTGCCCATATCATCAGGCAGTCAAAGTTTTGTGTTCTGGGGATCGCAAGCAACAGTCTAAAAAGCTTCAAATGGTGAATAGTGATTGGTAGGCGAACTCTAACTTGGTCTCCATGGGAACGTTTAATTCCTCGTAACACAAGTTGCAAGCGTAACATTTTGTGCAAGTTTAGCTGGAAACCATGGCGAACGTGGTAATGGCGAACTGCTGCTAAATATATTTTTATGGAAGGATATTTGATAGATTTAGCCAGAAATGCCACAAATTCTGTTAACAGTGATTCGTCGGCAGGCAGACATTGCTCAACCTGCATTCTCTTATATAAATGTATAAATGATATGAAGCGTTTTTCACCTGAGCTATAAGTTTGCTGTGTTGTAGGTGCAAGTGACAAGTTTATATACTCTTGGATGTCCTTATTCAAAGAGTCATGACTATGTCTGGAATTTGAGAAGGACTGGTGTCTGCTTCTGGAGCCAAATGTCGAAACCTCTGAAATTGAAAACGAGAAATTGCATCGGCTATGTCATTGTGTTTTCCTGGAATATGGACAGCACGTATATATATGTTGTGCTGCAACGTTAAAAGTGTTAAGTGTCGCAGTAGATCCATGACTCTGGGGATTCGAGAGCGTTTTGTATTTATCATGCTTACTACAGCCTCGTTATCGCAATGAAATGTAATGCGATGGTCATGTAGGAGATTACCCCAGATCTGGCGTGCGACCACTATCGCAAAAAGCTCTTGCCAAGATATACTAATGCCAGGTTGGCCTAATTTTTGATGAGGTTTCCACTTTCCTTGAAACCATTTTGTACCAAAAATACCCCCAAAACCTAGTGTGCCAGAAGCATCCGTGTGCATGTCTAATGTATTGGAATCGTGCCATTCAGATGACAGAAAGAAATTTGCACCATTCCAGTTAAGAATAAACTCTTTCCACATTTGAAGATCTTGAAAGAAACCGGAATTAAGCTTAATGTGGTGATGTTGCTTTTTTACGTTTCTTGTTAGAGCAATCATGCGTTGTAAGAAGGGCCGCCCAGGAGGAACGACTTTACATGCAAAATTTAAAGTGCCTATTAGCGACTGCAATTCTTTAAGTGTACAAGATTTTCTATGTTGAAATTGCCCAAAAATGGCATGCAGCCTTTCAATTTTGTCAGCAGGGAGTCGAGCTTGCATTTTGATAGTGTCTAGCAAAATACCCATGAATTCAAGTACCTGTGAAGGCCCTTGTGTTTTCCCTTGGGCTATAGGGATATTAATGGTTTCAAATGTAGATAACATGTTTGTTAAGCTTTGCTGACAAGTACTGTCAAAAGGAGGCATAGTGGCTGGAGGCTCAATTAAGAGAAAATCGTCCAAAATATGGCAGACAAATGAGATCTTACACTTATTGAGTAGAATCCACTCTAAGGCATCTGAGAGTGTGTTAAAAATTGAAGGGGCACTCCTTAGGCCGAATGGAAGAACCTTATCATAATAGTATTCCCCTTCCCAGCACATCCCCAGCAATTCATAGTCATCTGGATGGATTGGTACAAGTCTAAAAGCTGATTCAATGTCAGTTTTAGCAAGAAAGCAACCTGGGCCAAACCGCTTAATACGCTCGATAGCATCGTCTATAGTAACATACTGGAGACTGAAATCCTCTTTCGAAATACTGAAATTTATGCTGGTTGAGCCAGATTTTGGATATGATAAATGGAAAATTGTACGAAATTTATTTGAATTCTTTTTAGGTACTAAGCCAATCGGAGAGACCTGAAAATTCTGAAACGGCGGAGTATCAAAAGGACCAGCCATGCGGCCAAGAGAAACCTCAGTTGCCAAATTTGAGGAAACAATATCCGGATTAGCAAAAGCAGTAGGCAAATTTTTTGAAAACCTTGGGGCGCGTTGCCCCTGAAACCCAATGCGTACACCTTGTTTAAAATTATTACAGAGCTGCAAAACAAAATTGTGGTCTGGGTGACCAGAAAGTGCTAATTCTAGGTTTTTAATAGAAACAGGTGTTGGTAGTGGTGTATCTTTACTCGCGTTTGGACTTTGAGGATTTGGAACCACGCTTTGAGGTTGGCTCTTCATCGTCAGCGGGTTTAGACTTGAGCAAGGAGCATTTACTTCCCGGGTGTGGGTTACTACATTTGTTGCACACGTGGCGGTATCGGCATGGCTCTCGAGTACAGTAGCCCCACCTGTTGTAATCGTGGCAGTAGCCTCCTCGTTCGCCCCCTGAGGAAGCCCGGTTTTGGGGTCGATTAGAAAAAATAGGATAGTGTTGTACTAGCATATCTGGGCTGGTGGTAAATATCATCAGCCACAATTGTTGATCAATCATGGACCAAGTCATACTGGGGTTAAGTGCAGCCTTGCATCTAAATTTATGATCATATATACACCATCCCAGACCACGGTGAGTTTGGGCTGCATGGCGTATCAAACTCATATATTGTAGAAGTTCCTGGGCCCGACCTGGGTACTGATGGGTCATAACACTCATGTAAACGGTAAACGCGGTTGTCCACTGTTCAATTTCAGTGATCCTGGCGGTTGGCTGAGATGCCTTTTTGGCTTTGATCACAGAGTTCTCTAATGTTAATATGATAGGCTCCTCCGATGTATTAGAGAAAGACATATTTCTTGGCAATAATTTAGACAAATCGAAGAACTCACCCGTCTGTATTTGCCTGACATATGACGCAGGAACCTCATGGAATCCATTTCCGTAGGGAACGATGTTTGCAGCTTGATTTGATCCAACCGTGTTAGTTGCCACAGTCTCGAGGCTGGCGTTAGCCGTACTTTCAACTTCATCCACAACGATTGGAATACTTGGAACGCGAGGCGTCGAGTTCGACATGGCTTGAACGGCAGCTCGGGCTGCGTTTGTCGCTATTTCTGCCACGGACTGCTCCACACTGCGAGAAACTATTAGACCTTGTATTTGGGCTAGCTGTGATTCCGTTAGTGCTGGTTGTGTTTCTGGAATAACTGGTCGCGATTCAGATGATGTTGACGGCAAATTTGCATTTGCTGCGGCATGTTGTTGCAGACGCGCGATTAAAACATTGCGACGTCCATTGGTTGGTAAACCTTTCTCGGCGCATTGTTGTCGAAGGTTCGCTACGTTATCCGTTGTATTTTGCGAAGAACTTCCCTCGTTTATTTCACGTGTTCTACCGCGTCGTACGGGAGGCATCGCGATGAATTATTTATAAATATTAAAGAATTTGAGCAGCTTTTGATATATCCTATAGCTCTGCAAACTTTAAACAAAACTGATATATTCCGAGCATGCTTTGACTTTTCATTGCCTATTCTGAATTTGATTGGTCAGTTTGGCGGTTTTGGCGGTATCCAAATTTTGTATCTGGATAGGAATTACTATAAAAGATTTACAGTTTGTAATGATAGAGTTGGAGCAAGTTAAGCTGCAATGTGCCTCAGTTTGCCCTACTTTGTTATTTTAAGCTGTTTAACACCAGAATTTTTTCTCATCAAGGGGAAAGTATTGGACTTGGTATTTGAATGGGTTAACCAGTCCATCTGCATGTCTACCTATCTTTGGTTAATTATCTCATTAGATCATTAAGCCACAATGCTCTTTAGTGCACCCTATTTTGTTATTTCACCGTACTTCTGGACAATATTTCTCATCGATAGCCGGAAATGTACTTGACTTCATGTTGATTACTGCCATTAATTAACTACTGTACTAAATAGGACATTCAAGGTTGGAGATATACTAGCAATAGAGGTTGCTATCATTGTAGCATTCAGGGGCGTCGCTAGCCCAAATGGGTCGTTCCAGAAAAGATCCATACTCCCCCACGGAGGAAATTTCTGACATCTGGAGGGGGAGGGGAGAAAAAATTGTTTCTGATAATAGTAAATGTATTAGGATGTCCGAAGGGGGTAGGGGGGTTAACTTAACTTCCTATTTCCTCTGTGGGGGTGGTATGGATGTTTTCTGGAATGACTCAATTGTCAGGCATTTGGCAATTTATTGTATCACAATCAGGAAATTGTTTTTGTGGCCAGCATGATTTGAATTGGATAGGAATGGAAAAAACTGAAATATACGAGTTTTTGTTGCCCCTCCCCTTCTCAGAGTAGGTATGTGTTGTTTTATAGTGTAAATAACAAGTTTTGATATTGCAATCAAACTGACAGGGTAGTTGTCATGACCATGGTAATAAACAGGGATGCCGGAACGATAATAAGGCAAAGGGGGGCGGACGCACACCAAGGGCCCCTCTATAGAGCAAAACTTCAAAATCTACCGGAAAATTTTCGCCAAAAAACCGTCGCCAAAAAATTTTCGGTCAGTGTACCATTTTAGGGGTCAAAACCGTGAAGTCAAAAATTTTTCCGCATATCTTAAATTTTCGCCATTTCATCGATATATTTTTCTAAATTCCAAAAATTTTCCAAAATTTTTATAAATATAAACTATAAATTACCTGAATCTCATGATTTTCCTACAAAAAGCATCGTTGGAAATGTGATTTATCACGTAGTATTTTACAACTAAAAGGGCACTTCTGCTATATATAGTTGAAAAGCAATATAACCAACATGTTGTCATCCAGTTCCATAGTCTAGTCAATAGGCAATTCCAGCTTTTAATTTATGTGTGCAGGGGGCAACAGGAAGTAAGGTATCATATTGCTGATTATGCTGAAAAATTTTAATAAAATAAACTAAAAGCTGGAATTGCCTATGGCACTTGGGTCCCTTGGATTCAATGGTGCTGGCCATATTCTTACATTCACTGTTTTATCTTGTTCACGAAGAGTGAGGTATTATGTCTTAATTTAATTTTCCAAATGATGTCGGTAGTTTTTCTCACGAGCATCACCGATGCACTTGAATGCTACAGCGTGGGCAATTTCCTCCTCATCACTTTCATCTTCTCACTTAAACGTCATCACTTTCTGCCCTATCACCTTGATTACCTCTTTCATTATCATATCCATCCTGAACAGGCTCAAGACCAACCAACCACTCAAGTAAATCTCTTTCTACAAAATGATAACAAGAAAATTATTATTTGATACATTATCATCTCTAAAATTAGCAAACATGTAATCTCTAAAATTATATTCTCACAACCATCCACAACTACTGTAGATACAAACAGGCATCATACTCAGCAAAATGTATAAAACAATACATACAAATAACTGAATAACAATATACCTTCAGACTCATCTGAGAACCAATGTATAAACTATACACAGTGCACATATATGTAAAAATCTATCCATACAAACAGGTATCATACTTCAGCAAAAATTTATTAAACAATTCGTTTAACTCAAAACATGTACATATGTATCACAGTGACACAATACATATACACACACAATAGGGTCAAATTAGAGGCATTATAAACACAAGTATGACACCATAATTTTGTACAGTGTATTTATAAAATTACAGTACAAGAATAAAAACAACAAAGCGGAAATTTGACTATAAAATAACACGATAACTGTAATGCATTGTAGTATACCAACCTTAAATACTGCGCTTGTTTTCACGTTGATGATACACGGAGATTTAACGCCATCCAACTTAGAAAGAAGATCCTCGCTATTGGGAATATAAAATTAAACACAATTCCTTTTCTCAGACGGATTATTTATAAAGCTAAAATGACAGCACATCCCATGCAATTTAAATTAAAAAAGGTAAACTTGATATAGTAAAACACAAGTCATAATGATGATCGCAACAATACAGCAATAACATGCTGTTTCTTTTCACAAAGTATCGCAGCCTGACACTCTTGTCGTTCGAAAGCTTCCATATTGGTTTAGTCAGAGAGATGTTCACTCCTCGACAGTCAACAGTCAATGAAGCCACGCGCGGAATTAGGCGCTCAATACCCATGATGCTTTGCGGCCTGCTGTCCAACCTCCTCTGAGAATACACTAGAAATTCTAGAATAGCTGCAGTTAATTTCCGTACATCTCCAAACACTTGTTGTTCGTCAATAAGTCAGTGATTATAAATTGAGGCTCCAATGGTGCAGTGACTCTCGTAAATCTAAGCGACTGGAAAGCAATAAAGGTATAACACATAACCACTGATCTAGAAATACATAACTCATACGATTGTTTGTTTTAACCGACGTAAAGAGGCCTATATCACTATAAACTCAGGCCCTGTTGTGATATCCGTGTTCATTTTACGTTTCTGTTTTGAAGGCTACAACAGTACAGCTTTAATAGCCTCGGTTAAAGTTTAAAGTTGGATTGTGTGACGATCATGAAGACACCGGGATCGACTACAGTATAGTTTTTCAAAATTTCATCATTGTGTTCATTTGCCAGACAACTTGTGTCTTGTGGTAAGTTCTGTCTTACATATCTAACATATCTTTCCTAGACAATAATTAATTTAAGCGTGGAAATACCATATATACACTGTACTCTGAAATGAAGGGATTTGGTTTGATATTCGTTTGCCAGTTTCACGTATGCATTGTTATATACATCATACATATTGTATGTATATAGCTTCAATATTTCTAGTCATCTGGAATAAGATTGCCTTTTAATTTTTTACAAAAGGTTGTTATTGTTTGCCTGAGTCCAAATCCGGTTTAATATATGCTGGTTGTATTGTAAAGAACTTGAATGATTTGGCAATCAGTCGATCAAATGAATTTTAAAATTAAGTTTCTAGGTATTTTAAATTAATCGCCAATTTTACTGTAAACATTCAAGTTCAATTTCATAAAATGTATATACTATATAGTGACACAAAGAATTATATATGCCTATGGCATGATATTTGTGACAACAAGATTTCACAAACATTTATGTAAATATATGTGTATAAATGTACATCACCTACAAGATACATACATGGGCTTTGCCCTTATATAGATCTGCTTTGCTTGGCCGTGTCACATCTGATCTTGTTCTGAATTTCAATCGTTTCTAAAATTACACCTGGGGCCGGTTGTTCAAAAGCTGGTTAACGCTAACCTAGGGTTAAATTTGCTTAACCTAGATTACTTTGCGTTGTTCAAAGCTACAGTAGGTTATTGTTAACCCTCGGTTAAAACAAGATTTAAATTTAACCCTCCTCGCTAGGTGGGTTAACTTGCTAATCGGCCGGTTAACTTGTATTCAAAATGGACGTCGAAGGAGTGAAAAAAGAAAACATGTAAAACTCTTGGTGAAACAAACAGTGTACAAAGATTTTACAGAAGAAAATCAACCTCAAAAAGTAAATTCTAAGTCTGTAAATACTATTAAGATTCTTATTTGTCCGGTACAAGCCTTTATATCTACAAGTTGGCTTTGAATTTATATACGAGCATTAAAGTGAAAGATACAGCAACTTCCTGTTCATTTTGGGGTGCTGTGGTCTAAGCATGGAGATCATAATTTACAGTTTTAATTATTGTGTTACTATGGAAAAGTACCTTAATTTACAAAATGCCAAAAGAAACAGCTAAACGTCTGCCGGTTTTCAAAATATAGTTTGGTACACACAGTGCCGTGATAAAGATTGTGTACACTGTACAGTATAAAAACGATTTACATCACAAGATCTTTGTCGATTGCCGCCTCCAAAACTGTTCAACTCAAGTTTTTTCGAAAAATAATGTTAGAAAAAATACTTGTATTGCCAAACAATTTGCCGTACCACCACCTGTTTCACAAAGTTTCCATTTGCCATTTGTTGAACAGTCATAAGTTCTTGCACATCTACTGTTTGCAGTGCAGTGTACTGTATTACCTAGTAAAAACACTGTTTTTGAAGCTGTAAAACAACTTCGCTCAGTTCGCTGCTTCTTTTTCTGTTTTTGTGTTGTGTTTTATAGGATAAACACACATGCGTTGAAAAATGCTTTTCAACTCCAAAATAATTTGAAGTTCATTTGATTGACTGGGATTTTGTTCTCAAATTTAATTATTCAAGCATTATTTTTATTTAAATGGCTTTGCTGCTTTGATCAAGTGTATTTTTTTTCTTGATACTTTCAAAAGGCTTAAATTCATGTCTGAAATGTTCAATTTAAGTGGCAATGCACCCTGATGCGCCCTACTTTACTATTTTACTCTGTCTAACGCCAGACAATTTTACATGTAAAGTGGAGAGTGCTGCTACTCAATGGGTTAACCAAACAAACTGCCCATTAGCCTGCGTGGCAGGCCCTCAATTTTATGGGGGGCCTGATTTGCAGCGGGCAGGATTTTGACGGGCTCCGGGGGAGGATTGAGGCCCTCAATTTTATGGGGGGCCTGATTTGCAGCGGCGGAGCCCGTCAAAATCCTGCCCGCTGCAAATCAGGCCCCCCATAAAATTGCCCATGCATCCTCTCAACCCTTTAAGTGGCAATGCACGCCGATGCGCCCTACTTTAGTATTTTACTCTGTCTAATGCCAGACGATTTTACTCATCAAGTGGAGAGTGCTGCAACTCAATGGGTTAACAATACTTCTCCCATCCACCCTATTCTAGATCCCTAGTTTTGAAACTTACTTTCCAGCCAATCAAAAACGTTCTTACATTACATTTATTTTTAAAACAAATTTAACCTTGGGTTAAATGTCTTAACCCTGGGTTATAACTAACCGCACCTCTAACCTAGCTTTTAACAACGCAGTTTTAACTCAGGGTTAACTAACCCTGGGTTAGGGATTTTAACCTAGGGTTAGCGCTAATCCTGGGTTAAAGTTAACCAGCTTTTGAACAACCGGCCTCTGAGTAACAGACGAGTAACATACAACTACGGACGAGAATATTTTCTAAATACGACTACTAAACAGCATTTTGATGGTTGTTTTTAATAAATGATGCAATATTTTTCAAAATGGCGATTGGCGGCTGCAGTATGTGAGATTTCTGTTTTTAGCCACTATTGTATGTGAAGGTAAGAACTGTACTACCATAATCATAAAATTATTTGTAATTTTGGGTCAGTTTGGATCGTATTTGTGTAACGTACTTTAGGCCAAGGGAAGTGAAATATCAGTTTACCGTCACCCGCGTGCGTGAAACTTTTCATTATTTCGTGATTTTTCCATTATTTTTTATTATCCTCTTGGATTTTTGTGAAAATATTTCGAAAACATTATTTTGTCCAGAAATCAGAATGTCCAGAAGCGGCATATGCCACGGGCCCCGCGCTTTTGGGGGCTGTTTTGTTTTTGTTTTCTATTTCAGCGCGGGCCCGAGCGCCAGAGCGGGGCCCCAAAGAGCCTAAGTCCCCCAGAAAACTTGAGCCCCCCAAAAATCAACCCCAAACGTTTTCTTTTTGTTCCCTGTTTTAGTTTTTCAACGCATGAAATACAAAAGGATATTTTTAAATCTTACTGAATTCAGGGTCTAAAATGCCGTTGGGCGGTTGGGGTCAAGGGGCCCCGCTCCAATAATATGCCACAGGCCCCGCGGAACATTAATCCAGCCCTGACCACGCTCAAACCACATCCATTTTCGAGGAAGTTTCATCTCGAAAAAGGAAACACAACTTAGAACGGTCGAGTTAAGCCCCGTGAAAAAAGAGGGACTTAACTCGAAGTCATTGAAAATATTTGACGCTCGAATTAAGCCCCAACATTTGAGGCATGTAAAAGAGCAATAATTCGAGATTTCGAATCATCCACAATCTAGCTGGAAATAGTTATCATACGTCTCGGGTTAAATTGCCTTAAATAAGCTGTGTGCACAGCCTAAATGAGTCACGAACAGGCGGAACAACTCGTATAAACAGTGAAGTTTCATTAAGTAACAGATTATTTTTGACTAGCTTTTGTACGTACCTCTGAGCTTATTACGAATAAATATATTGATCTCGCCGTTTAATTTCGCGTAAAAGATCAATTTATTCGTAATAAGCTCAGAGGTATAAAAGCTAGTCCAAAATAATCTGCTATTTAACGAAAATTGACTGTTCATATAATTACGAGTTGTTCATGACTCATTTAGGCTGCAGCTTATTTAAGCCGAGACGTATGATAAGTTGATAACTATTTCCAGCTAGATTGTGGACGTCTCAAATCATTGCTGTTTTACATGCTTCAAATGTCGAGGCTTAACTCGAGCGTCGAATATTTTCAATGACTTCGAGTTAAGCCCCTCTTTTTTCACGGGGCTTAACTCGAACAGTCGAACTTTCCAAGTTGTGTTTCTTTCTTCGAGTTAAGCCCTTGACAAAAATGAGTGTGGTTTGGGCGTGGTCGGGTCTTAACTCGAAGATTATCTACCTTTCACAATGCAGGCTTGTGACCGTTTCAAGCAATATAATTGGTCTAAATAGAACCTACTTCATGTACGCTTATTATTTTGCCACGAGAAAAGTTAGGTTGGATTAAATCGATCAATACATGAAATACTTGCAATGCTCAAGGGGGGTACAAGGGCTTCCAATGGAATTTCTGGACGAAATAATGTTTTTGAAATATTTTCAAAAAATCCAGGAGCATAACAAAAAATAACAAGTGGGTAACGGTAAACTGATATTTCACTTCTCTTGGCCTAAAGTACGTTGCACAAATACGATCCAAACTGACCCAAAATTACAAATAGTTTTATGATTATTGTAGTACAGTTCTGACCTTCGCATACAATAGTGGCTAAAGACAGAAATCTCACATACTGCAGCCGCCAATCGCCATTTTGAAACTACGACTAATAAACATATTAGTCGTATTTAGAAAATATACTCGTCTGTAGTCGTTTGTATAGTTGTCTGTTACTTGTCTGCACTCGTCTTTTACTCGTCTGTAATCGTTTGTTACTCGTCTGTTACTCGTCTGTTACTCGTCTGTTACTCGTCTGTACTCGTCTGATACTCGGGTGTAGTTTTAGAAACGATCATTAGACGGCTGCGAGAGATATGGATTTTATGTTCGAGTGACAAAAACAATATCTCACGTACATGAAATAGGTTCCATTTAGACCAATCATATTGCTTGAAACGGTCACAAGCCTGCATTGTGAGAGGTAGGTAGTCTTCGAGTTAAGCCCCGAACACGCCCAAACCACATCCATTTTGGTCAAGGGCTTAACTCAAAGAAAGAACACAACTTGGAATGTTCGAATTAAGCCCCGTTAAAAAAGAGGTGCTTAACTCGAAGTCATTGAAAATATTCGATGTAAAAGAGTTAAGCCCCAACATTTGAGGCATGTAAAAGAGCAATGATTTGAGTCGTGCACAATCTAGCTCTGGAAATAGTTATCATTAGATACTTCTCGGCCTAAATAAGCTGCAGCCTAAATGAGTCACGAATAACTCGTATATAAACAGTCAATTTTTATTAATTATCAAATTATTTTTGACTATAGCTTTTATACCTCTGCATGAGCTCATTACGAATAAATTGACTTATACGCGAAATAAGTCTATTTCGACTCAAATCATTGCTCTTTTACATCGAATATTTTCAAATGACTTTGAGTTAAGCTCATGTTAAAAACAATAATTTATTTTACTCACTCGCTGCGCTCGTTCATAAAATATTGTTTTCACCATTCGAAGATAAAAGTCATATCTTCGTGCCGCCGTGTAATATCCTTTATATAGACGTATCTGTAACTATGGTGACTCAAAATAAACCCTATGATATATTTAATGCCGATTTTTAAAATAAGCGAAACATGCAGATGTTGTGTATAATATTAATTTAAAATACGCTGCTAGAATGATGACGCGCATGCATGCGATAATTACTTTTTGAATTGAGGAGCGTTGTTTTTTAACAACGTTGTTTTTTTTTTTAAATTTCTACACCATGTCTTTTAATATGTATTAGTCACATAAAATAAATTCCATGATCCTCAGGGTGTCTAGAAAACTAACTAACTATAGCTAAGTCTAAGACCTAAGACCCCGTTTACACGGTACCGGACGAATTTGGGACTGAAATTCGTCCTTTTTCGCCTGTTCATACACGCGAATTCGTCCTGTTAGGACTTACTTTTCGAGTTTGAATGGGTACGAGATTGGTTTTCCGTTTTAACTGAGACTTAATTATAAATTTCGAAGTCTTAGTTTTCGAGATCTTAGTTTTTGAGGTCTTATAGGTCTTAATTTTCTAGACATCCTTTATTCTCATCACCGCCCGACTGTATTTTAAGAGCCTCATGAAATTTTTTTTATATTTCGTCATGCAATATAAATGTGCCGCCCGCGACAAAATATTTCAAGACAGTTAAGTTTTTTTATATTATATATTGATTATTGGGATTTTAGTGTCATTTTGAACTGCCAATTTCAAACAAAAAGCCTTGAAAGAAATTACATTGCATTTTAAAGGAACTTCGCATTCAGTTCAAGGGTTCATGCAGTCATTGTTGCGTTGGAGATGACAGAAATATGTAATGTAGCCTAATATGTTTATTTCGGTTTGTGACACTTTACTTCGGAAATCATAGAAATATTAAATGTTGATATATAAATTATATAAAATATATAAACCTCCCGGCTCTTCGACATTTTCAAAGTGTAGTGATGAGAAGCAAGGAATTTATTTTGTATGAATCAATAAACGGCACAGCTGCTGCTTTTCTGCCTCCTATGTGGGGAGTATGGCTAATTGGCTATATGATGTCCAATAAATGGCAATGACAATGTATCAAACTCGTTTCATTACCCTACCCCAAAATTTCTATTAAACGAAGAATGATTATCACGGAGCCTCAGTCTCTGACTTCCTGTAACATTTTGTTGATTAAAAACAAGGCAGAACAAAGAAATTCTATATAAGGACTTTATTTCTGAAGATTCCCGTTCTCTTTAGGCATAGTAAATACATTTATCAGGTGCTGTGGCATGTAGCATAATTCACTAGTGTAGTAAATTGGAAAGAATTACTTTATCCAAAACTGATTTTGTCTGGGTTTTTTTTAAGACTCTATAACTGTACTTAAAATTAGTGCAAGGCTGACTCCCCTTGACAAATAAAGAGTAGCAAAATGATCGAATTATTAAAAGCGTTTTTCACTGAAACCTAAACTTGTGATAAGTATTGTAATATGACTGCACAAGTGAAACGTCTACATTACACAAACTGTATAATTTAGATGTAATAATTTAATTTCTGTGTTAGTGCAATGTACTCAGGTGAACATGATGCTTGTGATCATGTTACTCTGAGTGTATATCCACACCGGGCAAGCTTGAAAAATATGCCTGGCCACGGTGAAAATCGAACCTACGACCTTTGGAATACTAGCCGAATGCTCTGCCAACTGAGCTACGCCGTCAGGTCGGTTCTTCGAGTATGTGATATTTCGGAACCGAATCTAGTTCCCTCGCTATCAATGTAATCTAATAAACATGACTTTTTCTGTGTTGGTGCAATGTACTCGGGTGAATATGATGCTTGTGATGTTACTCTGAGTGTGTATCCACACCGGGCAAGCTGGAAAAATATGCCTGGCCACGGTGGGAATCGATTCTACGACCTTTGGGATACTAGCCCAATGCTCTGCCAACTGAGCTACGCAGTCAGGTCGGTTCGAGTATGTGATATTTCGGAACCGAATCTAGTTCCTTCGATATCAATGTAATCGAACCGATCTGACCGCGTAGCTCAGTTTGCAGAGCATCGGGCTAGTATTCCAAAGGTCGTAGGTTCGATTCCCACCATGGCCGGGCATATTTTTCAAGCTTGCCCTGTGTGGATATACACTCAGAGTAACATCACAAGCATCATATTCACCTGAGTACATTGTACTAACACAGAAAAAATCATGATTATTAGATTACATTGATATCGAAGGAACTAGATTCGGTTCCGAAATATCACATACTCGAACCGACCTGACCGCGTAGCTCAGTTGGCAGAGCATTGGGCTAGTATTCCAAATGTCGTAGGTTCGATTTCCACCGTGGCCAGGCATATTTTTCAAGCTTGCCCGGTATGGATATATACTCATGCAGAGTAACATCACAAGCATCAATTTAATTTCTTTTTATAGTTTATATACTTTTTGATGCCTGGGCTTTTTGTTATTTGATATATTTGAGTTAGCAATTGAAATCAAATATTTTGAAATTCTATTCTAGAAAGGAGAAATATAAAGCAAAATGAGTGCTGATGATACTGAACCTGCTGTAAATATCATAGAACCTGTTGAGGTAACTATAACTTAAGTCCCATTAACGCATTTATCCTCTAAATGATAAGTGAAATCATCTGGTGTTAGATAGAATAAATAACAAGGTAGCAGGGCGCGAAATAATGGCCGGTGTCACAGGAATTTCGCCCCCCTCTCAAAAGGATATCCTAGGAATATCGCCCTCCTAGGAATATCGCCCCACAAGGGGGCGAATACCCTAGGGATATCGTCCCCCTTTAGGATATTCGCCTCCCATGTATATGCGATGTGGTTTATTCAAATAATTTCGTAGTACTTTGATCTTATTAGTGCTTTACACGTTTGAGAATTAATGTAACTCTGCAGAACTAAAGCTTTTTTTGTCTTTTTTGAGACGTATTGTTGGAGTATTAGGGAGTTTAAACGTTTGCGGGAACGGCAAGGCCGAATTTTCTTGGCATAATTTTCGTTCGATTTCTGCGTGTCATATTTTCTTTCATATGACACAGGAATAGTTATGCATTCTAGTTATAAAACAACAGGCTCATTTACTTTTTATTGCTTTATGGCGTAAAATTGTTCTTGCCTGACGTTTGTCGTTTGTCTGTTAATAATAACAATGAAACTAAATGTATTTCTTCTATAAACATGATAGTGATAGTAAAGGTATAGCTTAGCCTTAGCTAGCTAATGTAGTGGTATAGACTTAAATACCATAAACACCGATTTATATATATAAGAATTACCTAACCAATTCAATTATTTTCAATCAATGTCAATGAATAATTTTGTGCATACTGCATCGGTAGAGACAAGTATATTTTTAATGCTCTTTATAATGAAATTAAACGGTTTGATTATAAAAAAAACATATACTGTAACTTATGCATGTGTCAGTTAAAAAAAAAAGTTTTGACAATATGATTACTTTTTAACAATGAGTTTAAGGATTAACACCGAAAATGCAAAATATGCATGGTGTGCTGTGAAGCGTACGATAAGTCTTATTGATCTACTGTAAGCCCTTTCGATACATGTAATTGTAAATTTGTATTCTTAACAATTTTGAATTGATACTGAGTTCAAATGACAAAAGCCATGTAATAATTATCCTATGCAACTGTTAGGAAGTGCGAAATTTTGAACGGAGGACGAAAATCCCAAAGAAAAGGTGAAGTTTCTAAGGGGGGGGGGGGCGAATTTCCTAAAGGAGGGCGAGCTTCCTACGAATTTCCCCCCTGGGGGACTAAATTGTAGGGGGGGGGGGCGAAATTCCTGGGACACCGGTCAAAAGACAATATCCGGCCAGAATGCCGAGTTTTGACCGGTCACTTTCAGTAAAAGAACAAACTAAACTTTATTTGAATTAATAATCAAAGTAAAGTTGTCAAGTATTATAATTAAGAACCATAACATGTTGTCAAATGTTTTGCAGGAATAGAACTTCAGTATACTGCAGCTTTCCCACGCAGTACGTCACAAAGCCCATGGCCATGCTTTTGGCTTAAGAGTTAATTATAAGGCCATGCTTTTGGCTTGGCGCAGTGCAAGCTGTTTTATGTGAAGGAGTATTTAATTACTGATTATACAGTAATGCTTTTTGTAATGCTATACTGGGAAAATAGTCACATTTTTAGCGGTATACTTTACTAGGCTTTGCTTTAAGCTGAACAATTTGAGCGGCCAAAGATTCAGTACAATATGTCCAAGCTAAAATTGAGTTGGCCGGTCACTTTGACCGGCGACCCTCCAGCCGTTATTTCGCGTTCTGGGTAGGTAAACAACATTGCATTAGTGTGCAATACCACTTGGACGTTTTACAAAACACATTGGTAGATAGTCTGATTAACGCATTGAATGCCAGCACTCTATTGCATTAGAGTAAAATAACAACGAAGGGAATATTACGGAACCATTGACAATTATATTTGTCGTGGGTAAAGTTAACCAGTTATATGCTGCAATGCACCCGAATGCGTCCAACTGCATTTTACTCTAAAGTGCCAAACAATTGACCAGTATGAGTATCTTCCCCATTATTAATTAAGGAGTAAGGGCATATGCAAATGCAGATTGCAGTGCCCCTGCAAAGTTGGCAGCGCTTATGTATGTTTCTGGCTGTGGCTTCATTTGTTCAGAATCTTTGGCAGCCAATACTTCATTCATGGCATGATTTATTACCAACGTTAATTAAACAGAAGTAGTATGTCATACTCTGTGAAGCCTTCCTATGCGTTTACATTTGGTTCAGGAAAGTCAGGCCTTGAAATTAGCGAACAGTCAGGTTGGCAAAGTTTTACCTACCTGAAACGGCAGCCCAGCAACAGGTCGGCAAATTTACTTTTGCAACAAAATGTTCGAACGTGCAAAGCACATCTTTCAAGTTTACCTTATCAAAATCCACACACCTGAAAATCTATATATAACTGAACATGAACTTGTGGTTGCAGCTTGGCAACTGGCCCATGCAGCTTATGTATCTATCAATGTTAAGCCCGGGGGGGGGGGCATGGGGTTGGGATTTGACATTTTCCTGAAAAATTTTGTTAAAATCCACACCCCAGGGACACCACCATTGTTCAAAAAATGGTAATACTCCCTACCTGAGGAAATCAATATTGGGTCAAAAAACAGTAATATTTCCCCCATCTGGGGGTTGGGAAAATTTGTTATATTGCATTCATGATCAAACTAATAACCCCAATTTCTGTTGATATTTTGATTGGAAAATGTTTGGGATTTGTTGTTTTACATTGTTTTGATGCAATGATGCATCTGCTGAAGTTATGGATAGTTCTTGAAAATATTTATAGCAGATAATTTAGCTGGAATACTTCATGAGAGGCTGAGAGCAATTTTATGCTTGCCATATTAAATGTTTATCAGTTTATTTATAATTTAATTATGCAAATCATAGTGGGCATTGAAATTTACGTTCAAGTCTTTTTTTGCAAATAAAAAGATGCTATAAATGTTTCAAGTGTGAACAGTGAGCTACTGGGCACTGTAGAAAATGGCGAGCTGCCGAGCTGGAACTTTTTGAAAACAATGGAAAAGAATACATATATTAAGGACAAAAATCTCAAGTTTTTAACAAAATAATTGATAAAACAAAGATAAACTATATTTTCCCATTTAAAATAAACTATATTTTCCCACTAAAGTCGGAAAAAAGTGGCATTAAAACATTTATAAAATGCATATTCTACCTGTGGAATGAAATAGCAATTCCACTGTTCGATGTCACTCTCCAGACTCTTATTCGTACAGTTCTACGCCGCTCATTCGCGCTCAAGACTGTGGCATTGTAGTTTTGGATAATAAAACAAAGCCAGGTGGGTGTTGCTCAATATTTTAGCAAAAAAAACTAAAATCAGAACGCTTTAAAACACTTCAAAACAGCCGAGAACTTCGCAGAACGCTCGAAAACTAATGTGTTTATATGGAGAAAAAATTTCCCGCGTTTTTTTTTTGCCCGCTTGTTCCGCCATCTTGGATTGTTCAAAATGTCACGCCTCGCGAGCTGAGTCGGCGATCTATATCTCCTATATCTATGATTATACCCTGTGCCATCCAAATACGTTTCCATAACTCTCGCTATTATTACAAATTGCTATAACAACAGGAGACTCAACAGTCAACAACTAAATAATTCATTAATACAATAAAATGCACATAATCCTTCAACAAACTTCTATTTAAGAAATAGAAAACATTTTCCGTGTTTCTATAGAGTTATAGGAACACGTGTGCTAGTTTGGGAGAACGAGAAATAATCAGTGGGAACACAAGCACGTAGTGCAAGTGTTTCCACGTTATTTCGAGTTCTCCCAAACTAGCACAAGTGTTTCTATAACTCTATAGAAAAACAGGAAAAAATGTTTTCTATTTCTTTTATTAAATAACCTTGTCATAATAACACAAAAACAATATTTTTCACGCGATTAAAAAGGTATATTCTCATTACACAATAACAAGAAAATGTTGCCTAGCAGCAATACCGGCATCAATTTTCAGTTTTGCCGACTGCAAAATTATGGAAAAAACACGCTGAAAAAGTTGATTTAAAGAAAATTTAAAGCGAAAAAACGTTTGGTTGGTAAGTGTTTCCCAGGCTTGTTTAACAAAATTTCAGGTTGACGATGTTTGTTTTAGTGTGTTATTTTGAGGTTCGTGGAAAATTCCCGTGTTCTATAGCGTTATAGAAACACGGGATTTTTCGCTTTTCAACCAATCAGCGCAGGCGTTATTGAAAGGTTATTTTATAAATGCTAGTACTACCTCAATGAGGAAAGACTGGTATTGCCATGATACAGAAGTTCTTTAGCGTAGTTATATTCCAAGTTTTTTTGGTTTTTAAGAAGTCAATTAAACAAGGGACATTAATTTTTGAAATTGTACCAAAAAATATTAAATTACTTGATTTTTTTGAAATTTTACCAAAACTTTTACCAAAATTATATTTTACCAAAACTTTCCCAAAAATTACCAAATTTTACCAAAAGTAAATTAATTTACCAAATCTGGTCACACTGGATAACTGAGGATGACCACCCACTCAAGATCGTCGTTCGTTGGTCAGCGCCCGCGATGATTGATGAACTTTAGACTTCGCTAATGCTTTCGTTTCCCCGGGTGTAAATAGCCGGGGGGAATTAGTACCCTCGCACGGCGCTTCGCGCCGTCGGCTCGGGGATTATATAGGCGGCATTGAGTATGTTTACTCCAGTCAGTAATATACAAAATTTAAATGCCAATTTAGTCTATGCATTTCAGAAAAATTAAACATTCAAAAATACAGGGTGTCATGTGACCAGCCGATGACAGGGCCTTTTCGCTGACCATCCAACTGAAGCAAAAAGCCCTGGATATATACGAGGTCGCCTTGAGGTTTGATCGCGCAATATAGACACACCGACATGCAGCGTTCATTGAAAGAATTACAACTCTCAGAACTACACTCTTGCACCCTATCGATCCTTTATTCCGTTGAAAAATATATGATCTTAACTGCTTATTTTTATTGGACTAGAGTGCAGAAGGATCTGCCCGTGATGAAGAGCTTACTGTACAGGACAAACTACGGGACACGAGAAAAAAAAATGAAAGGCTTAGGATGACCAAGACTCTAGCTGAACAGGTTTATGAACTCAAGAAGCGATCGGGTGCGCATGCGTCTGAGTCCGCAGTACCCAATGGAGCACCAGGTGTCGTTACTAGTAGCGACGCGGCAAGAGAACTTGCTCTAAGTGGCTCGGCAAGGGAACATCTGTTAGAAAGCCAAATTGAGCAGCTCAGCATTCAAGATCTTTCAAACATAATTGCCTCATTGATGGTTCTCTGCGAAAAGCAACAAGAAGATATGACAACCCTGAAAGCTCAGAATAATGAGATCAGTACTGTTAGCAGAACCCGACAAACTGAGAATGACAACCTTAATACTGTTAACAGAACCTTAAAAACTGACAATGAGAATCTTCGTATTGATAATAAAAAGCTCCAAGATGAGAATGAGCAGCTTTACCAAAGTGGTATAAATTTAGCATTTGAAAATATATCCTGGTTCATCGAGAACGAAAACCTGAAAGAAAAGCCGCAAGGTGATGAGGTTTATGCAAATGATAATGAGAATAGGAGTGCAGAAGACGGTGAAACCTCTACCCAAGTACGTAAGTTATACCATACCACACGATGAATTATGACATGTTTACAAGCATTATGAAGAGCAGTTTTCATACCACAATTGTGAAAGTTTGATACAAGATGACGTCATAACGTAATAGGAACAAAATACACTGTATATTGTTGACGAGACGCATTTGTTCAAACAAAACTACTGTAAACCTTAAACGAATTTAAGCACGGCGTACACGATTTATTCTTTAGATATATAATAATAATGTTTAGATATATAATATAACGAAGCTAATGCAGAAGAAGGGTTGGAAGTTGAGCCCACAGATTATGCCACTGACTGGTTTTCTTCACCCAAACCATACCAGACTTAAAGTCATGTGGAACCATGTACGTACATGTACATAATGTACCATTCGTGAACCTTGCAGCACTTGTATAATGACTTTGAAGGTTTCTTGTTTTGAAAACAAAATTTGATGTGTTACTGTTGTATATACATGTGTAGATTGCTACACTTTGATTGGTTAAGACCCGGGTAAGTATTTTCTTAAAACAGCCACTTATATTCCCAAGTTGTTCTCCTCAATCTGCATAGTTTTCGCAAATTATGTACATACATTGTTCCACATATAACTGTTTTACCTGGCGCTCCATTTTGTGATTGTTGTGACTGTTAGGCTGTCACCCAAAATAATGTAGCCTCGAAACGCAGGTTTGCTACTGCATGTACGTACATGCAGTAGCTGAACAAAATCTGCTTAGTATACATACAGTAGCATGTAATTCCGTTTTTTGATCCGTTTGTCTTCGTGTCAAATCTTGTGCCACATAAAAGCAGATTTATCTGTAGTTATTGTAATATACCTTTTTTTCAGGTAGAACCTCCCGAATTGGTCAGATTTTCTATTGCACTCAATTGCCCAGTTTCGTGTGGCTACAGCGTTGTCTTCTTCATTTTGTATATGATGGGGTTTCGATTGTGCATTCGAAGATTCATCGCAGAGGTGCAGTGTGCCTTAAATAATAAGTTCCGTGAAGCAAAACTTGAAGTAGGAAAGTGCAGCTTGTCGTTGACAGAGTTTTTGAAAGTAGGTTTAATTGATGAAATGTTTGCCAGATCTATAACTGATGAATATAAAATTGGTGATGCTTTGCGAGAGGCGAAAGAAAGAATACAGGGTCAGTTACACCCTGCTGCATTTATGATCGAGTACGAGGAGGGTCCAGACGGTAGAAAACCAATTGGCCATTGCGTGGCTGTCATGCCTGACGGCAAAGTTATTGATGTCGAAGAGGGGAAATACTGGGAGGCCAATAGCGAAAGTCGCATTAGCTATATATATGTTGTGAACGTTAAAGAAAGCGAGGTTATAGAATGGCAACACAAATGTGCACTACAAAAGTGTGAAGCTGAATGTACAGTATGCTCTGAATGTTTACTTGGCTCCCTCGACGGTTCGTCAAAATGATTTACGGATCGTGAATTACCTACTTTGCGGATCCGTATACAGTGCGTGAATGGGTGCTGTTGTGTCGAAGGCCTGTTTTATACGTCGAATTTCGGCTGCGTCGAATGCAATTCAAACAATAGATGATGAAGCTTAATGAGGTTTAATTAGCCGTGTTTACACTAAGGGACTGACATTTACCTGTACCTGAGAAGTACCTAGCCAGGCTTACACGGCGTGTTTACATTTGTTACATAACTATAAAGGCCCAAGTCCCATTGAATTGGCCATTATATACATGCAAAATGAATTACTGTGCAAAGTAGAAAATGACATCCGCTGAGTGCTGACATCAAAGACTCAAATTTACGTTTGTTGTCATGGAAATGAGCCTCGAGCACGTCTTGGGTCAGTGAAAATGTGTTTACACTGCAGGCCTGACCTGAGAACCTGAGACTGACCTAAGACCGTGTTTTCAGGCCAACTCTAATGCTTGGCCTGCCCTGAAAACATGGTCTTAGGTCGGTCCTAGGTCAGTCTTAGGTCAGTCCTAGTGCGTTTACACTACAGGACTCTGGTCTGTCCTAGGTACAGTAAGGTATAGGTCTCTAGTGTGAACACGGCTATATAATTATCTATGGTCCTTAGCCAGAAACGTTTGTCGAACCGTACAGTTCGTCAAAATGATATACAGATCTTTATGTTTGAAGTTATTTAGTTCGCGCAGTGTTTTTAAAGAACGAAGCAATAATATGTATAGGTTATTTTGAGAGGACATGTGATTTATTCACCGACGCGCAAAGTGCCGAGGTGAATAAACGCATGCCCCCGAGGTGCCTCAAAATAACGTACTTATTTTTCACATTGCATGGCGAGGTCGCATTTTAGGAGACATAATAGAAAGAATTCGTTATGAAAGACATTTAATAAAACATGCAATTCCAATTTCCGAACACTGATCACTTTTGTTTCAGAAAGAAAAAACAAAGCATGATGATAGGGGGGAATATTAGAGGGAATACTACAGGGATTATTATCTATTGTTTTGCCCTTGAATTTGGTCATTGTTTTCAGCCCCGGCTGAAATCAAAAGCCGCCCCCAGTTATGTACTGTTAATTGTTTAGTTCGCGCAATATTTTTAAAGAACGAAGCAACAATACAGGGTGTCCCAAAAAAAAGTGACACTATAGAAATTATCCTATTGTTATAATTTGAATGCCCTATAGCATTAAGTTGATCCCACAGGTGCATAAACTTCTGCTTCTGGAATTTAAAATAAAAAAGCAAACCGTTTATTAGTGTAATCGTTTTGCTTGACTCGGGCGTTAAAATATTTGGACAAAGCGAAAACGTTTTAAAATGCTTAAATGTAAATACAAGTTCATTAAATTCCCAGGCGTGTAATCACGCGCGTTGATAATTTCTATAGTTTCACTTTTTTGGGGGACACCCTGTATATATGAATGATTATAGAGGCAGTACTCTGAAGGTTCATGTACTGTTTGTAGTTATTTATTTCGCGCAGTGTTTTTAGAACGAAATTTTAAGTCCAGAGTCCATTCCAAACCTAGTCCAGTCCAGTGTTTACAATATGCCAATGACTTAATTTCTAAATGTGACTTACGCATGTGACTTACATTGACAAAACAAACTGCAGGTCAAGAACCACCACCCATTGAAACATTGAAACACGTCACCATAGCTGCCATAGGTTGCTTGGGCAACTGTAGACGCAAAAACGTATTGCTTCGCATTGATTGCGAAATAAGTCAAACAAATCAGTGCATGAAATCTTTAATTTATTCGATAAACTGGAGTGCACATTAAGGTGTTCCATGCAATGAGTGACAACATGTAATTGTAAAGTATTTCACTTCTTATTTTATTATTACTATTTTTATTATTATAAAATTATATATATATATATACATATATATATATACATATATATATATATATATATATATATATATATATATATATATATATATATATATATATATATATAGTATATATATATTATATATATATATATATATATATATATATATATATATATATATATATATATATATATATATATATATATATATATATATATATATATATATATATATATATACGTTTTTAAAGATAATATTCCTTACGGTTTTCAGTGTCTTCAAAACGACCGTTGTTGACTATTCTAGTTGTGATTATCAAGGACCACAACCATGTTCTGTTACGTTTAACTTGACACGTCAAACTTAAATCTAGAGAAAAATAAAGATAACCAGACACAGTACTAAAATGCGGTGCCCGCCTACAAATAAAACTTTCGGCGTTTCCGCCTACATGCACAAGTAAAGTTATATTTAGCAGGCTATACATTCTCCTGTCGGCCGCCAGTTGGTCCGTACGTTAGGATCAAAACTGCGTTTTAAAGCCTTCAAAATAAAATATTTTGGGCTCAAAATACTATCAAAATGAGGAGAAAAGTGAGACAAATCGACTGGTATACGGACGAAAAAGAGAAAACCAACAATACGAAAGTTATCAAGGTCAAATGCATTGCATTTTTAATTAGTTTAATAATTTTGAGCGATTTGTGAACAATACAATTTCGCTTGTCTTTCAAAGGCCATAAATCGCTAGAATACTGTAGTTTAGTAATACATTTGGCTTCTGTGAGTATAATTTCTTACACTGAATCGAACGGTGGTATTTTTGTCCTTATTGGGCGCATAAAACCAGAGATAAGTCGCAGCAAAAAGTCAATCGTGAGAGTTCGAGTTGTAATTCGAAAGAAAACTTTCCTCGAAAAAAGGAATTCGGAAAACGTGAAGGATTATTTTGAGCGACTTTTGTCTTTCAAAGGCGACAAATCGCTAGACTATAGAAGTCAATTTTGAAATCAATTTTCCATCCGTAAACACAAGTTTTCACGCTGATTCGAACAGTGGTAATTTTGTCCTTGTTTGACGCATAAAACCAGAGATAAAGCTGAGCAAACAGTCGATCATCATGAGAGTACACGATTAATAATAATTAATAAATTCCGAGCACGTGCAAGGAATTTTTGGTAGGCGATTAAGGAAACGTATTGATGCGAACAAACTAACAAACAAACAAACGGACAAACTCACAGGCAGAATATAATGCGGTGCCAAAAATGGCACGGGCACCGCAATTTTCATTGCAATCGTGATAAAAAAATCGAGCACGTGCACGCTATTCTTGACCTGGTATATAGGGCTTAGTCTCCACCGGTCGAGATATGCAAGCTAGGAATTCCTTTTTGGAAAAGAGTGTAAGGTTGTGAACCAATTTACTTTAACGAACGAGTGTTTTGTCAGTCAAATGTAACTTGCGTTCGTATTTTGAAATGTGAAATGGCAAAACTTTTCCCGAGTCTTGTATATAATCAACCATTTTGAATTATGTGAACAAAAAAAGCCACGGCAAAAAGGTCTTTGGCAAAAGTTGAGCAACTCTGCATTCTGAGCCAACAAACTCGTATCCGTGAGACAAACGAAAATTTATGTGATCATGTGAAGTCGAAACATAAAAATACAGTTTAAATTTGCTTTCGTTTCCGCGAGTTCTTTCGGTGCCATCATGAGTGGCTTCAAACATGGCCACCAAGTTCTCGTTCCAGGAATTTTAGGCCCTATAGGGCCTGTTCATATGGGCAAAAGTTATCCCGGTTAAGGAGAAAACTTTTTGACTAGCCAAATACTTTTTGTTCTGTTCATATGGAGAAACGTTATCCCGCTTACCGGGTAAAGTTTCCGGCTGTGACGTAGCACTTAACATCAATTGAATTGAAAAGATGCTGACACGACAGAAAGTTATCCCGCTAAGCGGGAAAGTTGTGTTCATATGGGGAAAACCATTATCCCGGTCACCGAAATCTCGCCAGTCAACAAGCAGGCGAGATCTCGGTACACGGGAAAACGTTTTGTCTCGTACGAACGCAGTGTAACTTTTCATATTATTTTCATACCATCTCGCTTGTAAACTTGTCGAAACGTTTTCTCGCTAACTGGGATAACTTTTGCCCACAGCAACAGGCCCTTAGAGAGTTCAGTGCAGGTACCGAGTTACCCTCCATCTTGATTTACAGGATGTGCGCACGCTCCAAAGAAATTTAATTGAAAAGCGGTGGATATTTGTTTATGTTTTTGATTTTGCAAAATATAGCGTTTGATACGAAGAAATACCTAAAATTCTTTTCATTAATTTAAAACTTATATCACTTCGAAGCAATAGTTTTGACAAAAAGATGACAAAAGGAACAACTTTCTAAGGCGGGTATTCAATAAATTTTTATCTTCAATTGTAATATATATAGGTACTCTCTCTGTGTTACCAACAAATAGTGTGAGATATTTGCTTGAATTAAAAGTTAGTGTGTTTTGTCAAGCATGTGAATGTTGTTTTGTCTTCATTTTTAGTTCAGATTTGCCTGGTGAGAACAATCAAATACTACCTCACATGCATGGCGTAATACAAGCCAAGGTTGCATTAGTTTTAATACGATTGCTGTACTATCTTATGGTATGGCTATTCCTATACATTAACATGCCGGAGTTTAATGATCATGCCTAAAAATTCATTTTACGCCCAACACGTACGTAACTGGGCACAATATTGTCTTTGTATTAAATCGGTACGCATAGTTTCCTACCTTTCTTTGTGCCGTTGTAATTGTCCCGCTCGTTTTTCTCTCCTTGATTTTCTTTGCAATCTTCTCGATGCCGACATGAGCCGCGTTCAAAACATCTTTTACGTCTTGTGCATCTTGTTCTTTTTCTTTTGCCTCCTTCAGCTGCTTCTGTTTGACTGCCAATACATCCTTTTCGTGTTGTACCTTTAATTCGGCTTGCTTTTTCGTCAGCTGTTTCTGCCTGAGCGCGGTCGTCTTGCCGTTTACGACATCTTGGGCTTGCTTTTCTACTTTGACAGCGTTGTTATGCTTTGTGATTGCGGCTGCCAATGCTGCAGCAGCTGCTGCTATAGCAGCGCCTGATATAATACCGCCGATGATCGTCCACCAATCAGCTGCTTCGGAGGCGTCCGCTGCCACTTCGGCTGTGGTCGCCGCCGCAACTTCTCCAGCGGCTGTCGCTTCGGCCGTTTCTGCAAGAGATATGGTTTTGAAAAAGAGCTTTTCGTGTGATTGGTGTTTATCTGGAATTAACCAACTCGGCATTAGCGACGTCATCTTGATCTTACTCAATGCATGTTGGTCTATCCGGAGCAAAAACACCAATAGACGACGCAATATTATAAACCAGATTTCGCTTCGAATTTGGTTGCTGTTTATATTAAACATTTATATTAAATATATATAAAATCTAGTATATCAAATGCCGTTAAAAGTCATAGGCTTAGAAATATGACCAGAGTAACCCCTAATTACGCCACTGCACTTGACATAACATGGCTTGCGTTTATTTCTTGGCGAGATTGGCAGGTGAAGACTCGGTTAGCAAAAAACATGAACTTAAAATGCTTATTGGCGGATCTACAGGGTGTATAAAAAAAGCTGCACAGATTTGAAATTTGCTCTTAAATTCCCAAAACAGCTATTAGTACCCAGTTTTTTATGTATCTAGCTTCTTTGGGTACTTATAATGTAGAAAAATTTCTCGAACTCAAATTTTGTAAACCTGGGGGGGTGTCTTTTCCAACAAACTAAAAATGGCTTGCGCACGAAATTTAAAAGCTTTAATCATATTTTAAGTTAACAGATGGAAAGTTTGTTGGGTGTTTAATTACTGTACAGAATTTCAGACAATTTGCTTCAGTTTACGCCCTTTAACCATTCACGCAAACTTACATTTTTTCTTTAAAAAATCATCATTTGCATGTTAATCAATGCCTTTGCCTAATTTGCATATGTCAGCAATAGCATGCGAAAGGCTAATTTTTTAGAGAAAAATGAATAGTTAAAGGTTTAACTAAAGCAAATTCTGACATTTTGTACAGTAATTAAAAACCCAACAAATGTTCCATCTGTCACCTCAAAATATGATTAAAGCTTTTAAATTTCGTGCGCAAGCCATTTTTAGTTTGTTGGAAAAGACACACCCCCAGGTTTACAAAATTTGAGTTCGAGAAATTTTTCAATTTTTCTACATTATAAGTACCCAAAGAAGCTATATACATAAAAAAACTGGATACTAATAGCTGCTTTGTGAATTTAAGAGCAATTGCAAGTCTCTGCAGTTTTTTTTATACACCCTGTATAGCAGGCTAAAATACATCTAACCTACTTAAGCCAGCCAACGCGCGTCTTTCAACTCACTTGCGACTGCCAAACCAGCGGCGTCTACCAACTTGCCTGCGCCACCTGCGTCTTCCAACCTACCTGCGCCTGCTAAAGCTTCTTCAGCAGTTGTGACTTCGGCTTCAACGGTCTCGACCTCTGCCTCTGCTGTTTCCACTTCGGCTTCTGCAGATTCGACTTCCTTGCTCGCCGTTTTCGTTTCTGACGACAATTGGGCGACTGTCTTTTGCGATTGGTTTAAACCCCTTAAGACATTGTAGATTACTTGCTGAATTTCGCTCATTGACGTGGAAAACTCCTCCAAAAGTCCAGTCATAAGGCTTTCGGGGAGCTGTTGGATAATTTGGGAAAGATCGTAGTAATTAAGGTAGCAGAGAAGTGCGGCAATTGCTTGCGGAATTGGGATTCTTCTCCAATCAAAGTGTGGATCGGGGGGTGGAAACGGCCGAGGTGGTGTGGGTTTTGGGGGGTCTTTGTCATCCTTTTGAAACAGAGGTCTTAAAGCCCATTCTAGAGTACGGGTAACGGATGCCGTTTTGCTTTTGTCTCCTGTTTTCGAAGCTTCAAACGTGACTGCGATGGATATTGTTATCTTTTGCGTCCACTTCTTGAACTTGATAAAGGGCGGAACTAAAATTCCAGCATCTTTAAAAAGTGGATCTTCGAGTAAAGTTACCGCGCCTGCCAAGGTTTTCTTTGTTTTGGGAAGCAAATCGGAGGAGGATTTGTCAAATTTCAAAACGTTAGGCTTTGTGTCTGAACCAGTTAGCTTTATGGTGTAACGAAGTGGTAGCTCGACATCTACACTTGCGGAAAGACTTAGCTTTTCGCCATTCTTGAAGGTATACGACTGTTGAAGAACGTTTACGCTACCTCCAAATGAAGCTTTTCCATCTTTAACCTGTAAATATATGCAAACAAAATGCCATGATTCCGTTAATACAGTTTTTTTGTTGTTTTGAAGAATACGCTCAAATATTGGAGAATATTATCCTAAATTACCCTTTAAATTATATTAATGGTATAAATAATTAATATTTAAATGGTCCAAAAACATATTAAGTCTATTAAAGCCTGCGAACATGTATGTTATGTATTATGTTAAGATCTTTAATCAGGAAGTAATATTTCAAATCCGAGTTAGTGTTTTAGACGTGGTTTCTAAATACAAGTGCCATGAACAATGGCGAGGCGCAGCCGAGCCATTGTTCATGGCGCTGGGGATTTGGAAGCCAAGTTTAAAACACTAACTCGGATTTGAAATTACTTCTCACACATCATTAGACTTTCGTAGCAATCAGGCATGAAATTATTAGATATTCAAAAAAGTGAGCGTGGGCATTAACGATTACATTCGCATGAAAGTTTGCATGAAGTGCAACGAAGCATTCAGTTCGCTTTCGTCGTGAATAGATGAATTTTGTTGGCAAAAGAGCATGGTATCTTCTTATAATATAAGAAAAAGCGGTTTCGAGAACCAGAAAGTGTTGAGCACAGTATTGTGCACAGTATTGTCGCTCGGCTGACAAGGTTGGGGATCCGAAAAACAATATATCAGATTGTGTGTGCGATAAGGCGCTATCTGGTGGAAAATGAAAGAGCCGAAGTGAATATATATTTTATAGACGGTAAACATTACTGGTAAGTTGCTGTATTATAGTGTTTAAAGCGCTGTTTATTATGATAGTTGGTAAAAAAGTTGGTTTTCCTATATTTATGTAGTTTTCAAACGTTCAGGAAAAGTGTTAGATATAAAGTGTAGTTAGAATAAATTTCTAAACACAACTTGCTGTATTTAGAAATAATTCTAAACATAGCAATTAAATATATTTGCTGATAATCTTTTGTTTACGCCTCAATTTCCCTATTGTTCAAAACCCTTCCCACTTGAAGTAATTAAAGTCCTGGTCTAGACGGGGTATCCAGATAGATACACGTGATGTAAATTAAACCATGTCATTGGCCGAAATGCTATGAATATCTAATGATGTATGAGAATGTGAATTAAAAGATTATTAAAAATTTTAACGTTACTTTTTGCCAATTTTTTCTAGCTTTTCCAAATCGAGATATTTGACTTTGTTTATTGCATGTATGTGGTATGTATCAATTTCGTCATACAGCATAATGAGTTTCTAGAAAGACAACCCTCTCTTGAAAATATTCCTATAAATCCGGACAATGCGTATGACAAAGTCATGATTTTCATTGATCTTTAAAATGGAGCCATAAAAACTCTATTGAATGTACTGGCAGCTCAATACAAACTAGCATTACGTAAAATTAGGGAGTTATTAGTACAGTATGAACAGCTTTTATATTACAGCAAATAATGACTGTTTATTTTAATTAATTAAAAAAGTATATTCAAAATCCACTTTTGAAATGTGGTGCGTGTGCATTGAAAGAACGGATATTGTTCAAATAATTACTTCGGTAAACTCTTGAAATAGCTGCATATATTCATTTCACACTGCCGCTGACAGAGGGTCGACTTTGAGCTTACCCACTTTTTACGCCATTTCCCTTGCTGAGCAAGTGCGCGTAAGTGAGGTTTTATCCCCAGAAGTGGATATAAAATATTAAAATCCAGGGGGGTTAGTACTTTGCTTTTGCGCACTTGCTATAAACATGGACACTACTGACAATGACTCTAACAATTCTTCAGTCGTCTAGAACATAGCCTGTTGAAGAGAAGATGGCTGTGAAACTCATTAGGATAACAATATAACCATAGTCCCCGAGCCGACGGCGCGAAGCGCCGTGCGAGGGTACTAATTCCCCCCGGCTATTTACACCCGGGGAAGGAAAGCATTAGCGAAGTCTAAAGTTCATCAAATATCGCGGGCGTGGGTCACTGTGCGTGTTTCGGTGGGTGGTCATCCTCACTGATCTCATAATATAGCGGACTGTAATGAATAGCCAACACTGATTGGTCCAATTTAAAATTGGCATTATAACGGCTGCATGACGATTGACGACAGCGAAATTGATTTGATGATTTCTTGCAAATATATTTCATTTTTGCAAGATTTTGTAAATTGCAAAGGATTTTGATGAAATAAAGGCAAGAGGATTGCTAAAAGAAGGAAGTAAAGGTGCCGACGTTAACGAAGGTAAGTTTGTTTTAAATATTGATGCATTGTTTGCTTTCAATATACTGTAATCTCGGCTGTAATTACTTTAAAAGCCGATCGTTGCGTATATAAAATACGAAGTGACTATATGACCGGCAGCCGGTCACGCTTTATCAAATATTAAATGGCCGGCAGTCTAGTGACTATAGTTGAATATAAAAACTTTTGTTTGCGTTTACTTTTACCGAGCTTGCCGTTAGCTCATACGGCAAGGGCGCTGCGTGCGGAAAGTTAAGCGCAGTCGGGGTCGCGATGTGTTTTGTCTGACTTAGCATTGTTTTTTCTTAAAATTTTTTAAACTTTTTTTCCCGACTTTTCTAACTCTCAAAAGGTTAGGGTTAGGGGTTAGGGGTTAGGGGTTAGGGTTAGAAAAGGGTTTGGGGTTGGGGATAGGTTTATCTTATAAAAATTAAACTTTAACAATAGTCACTAGACTGCCGGCCATTTAGTATTTTATAAACCGTGACCGGCTGCCGGTCATATAGTCACTTCGTATAAAATATGAAAGAAGACAGCGTATTATTTCAGTGTTTCTTTATTGATTACACTTTTTATTATACTAAGCAAAGTTATTTACATGGGAGAATTTGGAATCATTTTATTTCGAACTCAAAGTTTATCGATAAAGGCAGTTTAGTTCTATATTAAAAGAACACTTTCAAACGTTTTGCGAAGCGTTTGTGGTTGAATTTTACCTTAAATTGAAGCTTATATTACGTATAATAACATACCTACTGTAATTACTTTAAAAGCCGATCGTTGTGTATAAATATGAAACAAGACAGCGTATTATTTCAGTGTTCCTTTATTGATTACACTTTTTATTATACTAAGCAAAGTTATTTGCATGGGAGAATGTGGAATCATTTTATTTCGAACTCAAAGTTTATCGATAAAGGCAGTTTAGTTCTATAGTAAAAGAACATTTTAAAACGTTTTGCGAAGCGTTTGTGGTTGAATTTTACCTTAAATTCAAGCTTATATTACGTATAATAACATACCTAACATATATATGTTTAGGAAATTGATAATTTTGTAATTAAAAGTGATATTTATAGGGGATTTTTCATTTGTAAAAATATTCTTAAAAAATTATCGTGTTACCATGACAACTACTTAAAATACTTCACGTTCGGAAAATAAAATGGTTTTGTCAGCAAGGCGAGGGTTTCTGCATGCATGTATTTTCTAGTTAATATGATATTACCGTGGCTCATTAGGGCCATTCATTAATACACCACACTTTTTAATATGATCGCCAGTTATAACGCGCAATCGCAACATATATCGCGCAGTTGCGGCAGATTGACGCGATCGCCAATTATAATACGCGATCGAAACTTATGGCGCGCAATAGCGAGTTATAAAGCGCGATCGCAACTTATTATATGTGAATCGCGACTTATAATACGCGGTCGCGACTTATAACAAGCAATCGCGACTTATTATGTATAAATCGCTACTTATTACACGCAATCGCGACTTATTATGTTTAAATCGCTACTATAACACGCGGTCGCCACTTATTATGTGAAATCGCGACTTATAATGAGCGATCTTGACTTATAATACGCAATCGCGACTTATTATGTTTAAATCGCTACTTATAACACGCGGTCGCCACTTATTATGTGAAATCGCGACCTATAATGCACGATCTTAACTTATAATACGCGATCGCGACTTATTATGTTTAAATCGCTACTTATAACACGCGGTCGCCACTTATTATGTGAAATCGCGACTTATAATGCGCGATCTCGACTTATAACACGCGATTGCGATTGCAAGTTGCAACATGTAATTATGTAAAGCCTTATTAATTGCATCCAAGATGGAGGAAAACGATGAGATTATGGATGACTTCCAGGAAGAAGACGTTGAACACGTAGGCGTTGGAAAGGTACAGCGTTATTAGTTGTTATCCAAATTGAATATTTTCTAGTATACGAAATAGGAATGCTTTCCTTTCTGACATAGGTTCTAAATTTCTTAAAATCAAGAAATGTAAGAGCAAGTGTGATCAGTCGATTTCGTACAGAAAAGGTATGTACTGTACTGTAATTAAACGGCTGTAATTAAACACTGTAATTATTGATTAGAATAATCCTGACCAAACCTTATTCATTATTATATTAACCCCGAAGTTATTATTTTTATTTACAAATATTTCACTACGCTAACCCGCCAAACTCTGATTTTCAAATATATTATTTATTTATTTATTTACAAATATTTTAAAATGGTAAGTAAGTCTGATTTTCAAGGGGCCGTTTCTATTTACAAAAATATTCATTCTAAAAAATTACTAAAAAATATATACACAAACAACACAATCATGCAAGTTTTATAAGTCGATAATATGCACAAGCCCACACTATATATATTTACTATATATCTATACACACTATATACACTATATATCTATACCTGTATATATTGCATAATTATGAGGATAAAATACTGCTG